TTATGGAGAGCAGGAGACCACTGAGGATAATTCGACTCCCAAGTATGGGGCTGGCAGGCCCACTGGGAACAGCATTGGAGAATCACTGATTTTTAAGGTGGAACTGCTTTAATCAGTGTTTTTGGATATCTCTGTGGATAATACAGCTCCCAGCAGAAACCTCCTGAATGATGAACACTGAAGCTGACTGCAGTGTACTCAAACAAACCGCGCAACAGGAAACTTTGTTGTGCAGAGTACGGCAGCTACATCAGAAAACACACATGTAAATTCTGAATTCAGTGCAACCCATCTAGAGCTGCAGCTTTACAGGAGGCCACAGACTGCCTATTACTTTGTATCTGTGTGATGACAGGAGCAGCTCGCTCACTGATTTTCAAATCCATTTTAGAAGATACACAGAAAATGCAGTCTCTTTGACTCACTACGTTTACAGACTTTCTTGGTGCAAAAGCATGTGTTTAGATATTTTTTGTATGTGTGTAACATGTGAGGTAGTCCTGTGTACTGTAATGTCATTTACATAATCATCTGCCCTCACTCAGCTTTCGCATCCATTATCCTAACAGTCCCTAGACCTAGACATTGTGGAACTTCATTAACAGGGACGGTTGAGCCCGCTGCCCCCGCTCTAACGGTGCAGTTATGTCTCGTAGAATGTCTGCAATTTGTCATTACTGTTCTGACGTAGAGTTGATTTTGGGGGAAATTGCAAAGATTAGCAGAATTAGCTAGACAGCTGAAACTCGCTACAAAGCTCCATAACGCAGAGAGGAGCTGCAGATTGAGCTGATAATTCTCTGTGGGCTCATCACTACACTGTAAAAAAGAAAAGCTGAGAGAACTAATAATTACGGAAGCCGAGAACAGCCATGGATTTTTCTTTTTTTTATGCACTATTATCTCGTGATAACGACTTATTATCTCGTTATCTTGATATAACAAAGATTGTTTTCTCGTGATAACGAATTAATGTGTTCGTCTTGATTTCAACCTAGAAAAGCTGCCACGAACGGCTTTACGTTAGTTTGTTTACTTGACTAGGTTTGTTGAGGGGCTACCAGTTAGCAGATGAGAGGCTGACAAACTCCTATCTATCCTATGGAAGCCGTTCGTGGCAGGGCTTGTAGGTTGAAATCAAGACGAACACATTAATTCATATTAATTAATTAGTTATTACAAGAAAACGATCTTTGTTATGTCGAGATAATGAAATAAATGAATTTGTTATCACGAGAAAATAATGTTTGTTTTATCGAGATAACGAGATAACAAGTCGTTAACACGAGATAACAGTGCATAAAAAAAAGAAAAATCCATGGCCGTTCTCGGCTTCCGTACATAACTCGAACTTTCTTTACTCATTCTTTACAAGTTTTAAGTGAGACTTGAACTTGAATTTTTTAAATAAAGTAAATAAGAAGTTCTGCCAACCTATAATCTTTTGTTGAGGTAATTTACTTTTCTTTAGAAAAAACTTTGAGTTTAGGAAACAAAATAAATCTGTATCTCAAAAATTGTTCAGTGAGCCGTGAACCAGATAATTATTTTGGTACTTGAAAAATAAATAGTTGCAATTGAAAATGTTAAATTAAACTGTTTTTCTGAAAAGAAAATTTAAATACTTTTTTCTTATAAAACTTAAAGATTCAAGTTTTTATAAAGAAAAGTTAATTATCATTAATTATCATTAGTTTGATTCAAAACCCAAGACTTTGACTACAAACCCAAAAAATTATTGAAGACAGTTGCCTTGAAAGTTTGAGTTTTCTCATTGTTTTTTTTGTTTTTTTTACACTTTACAAACAAACTAATTAAAAGACAACCAGCGAACTGTTCTGATTATTTTGCGATGCGATGTATCAGCGTGTAACGGTTACCGTGGGGATCATTGTGTTGCGAAATCAAAATGCAACCTAAACACTGCTTGACTGCACTTTCATCTGGTTGCATCCTTGAAAAAAATAAAAAATAAGAGCTGGAAAGGTTGCATAAGCTAGTAAAGTGCATGAAAAGCTTACATAATCCTGCAGCAGATTAAAGGGCACATATGGATTTTACCAAGAGTGCAACAACAGTATGAACCAAAATTCCTGAATCCCTTTATCCAGCTCTCTGACCTTTTCAACCTGGACAATGTTCCACATGTTGCATACTGTGCTGTACCTGCATGATGAATGCTTAAGATAAGGTATTTCCCTCCTATAAGTGAATGTCCTTCATCTTCAGAGATCTCCTGTGTTAGGTCCAGACACAGACGGGATCCACTGTTCAGTTTGATCTAGGTTTAGGTGCATAGGCTGCTGCTACTGTATGTCATCAAACCATCAATGAGAAAAGGTCATTCAGAAAGACGCGTGCTTTCAGGTGGCCCCGGCATTTACACAAGAACATTGTGGCATCCCTCGTCCTGCTCCGCCACACTAATGGGGATGACACAAGGTTGAGTTTAGCATTAAAAAATGTTGGGTTTTGTTGTTTCTTTTAAGCTGAACTGAGATAAATTCAGTAGCCCCGGTGGGAGTGAGGAAAGCAGAAGTGGTCGAGGAACATGAAATGCCAATGAGCAAAAGTCACAACACTGATAAGAGAGCTGAAGCTAAGACAGACTTTCTGAATGAAAGGGGAAAAGGCGGAAGGGAGGAGAAGGTGAAAATTCAGATATCGCATCAGTTTGTGACTTCAAAAGAATCCCAGAATTACCACCTCGATACTCCTGGTTTCATTCAGCAGGAGGCCTTTGATCTCTGCTAAAGGAGCCTTTCCATCTGAACAAACCTTTCACCAACATGTTCAAACACACATGTGGTTGACTTCAGCTTATCCCGATCCTGTGTGAGCTTTTTAAAATGGACAAACAGATACCGACCTCCAAGAGATTAGACTATTGCCCAATAAACTGGCCTCTTCTTCTTCAGTTAAAGGCTGCCCTCATGTCAGAGAACATCATTTGATCCAGAGAGAAGACTTTTGTGCGCTCTTCATCAGTCATCTGCAGGAACAAGTACGGCAAAAACAGCAATGCAAGAAACGCCCCAAAATACTCACTGTTCACTGCAGCCTGCTCGTCGTTCCTCCATTATAAACTCACGCAGTGCAACCATTGTTCAAACACACATTTGTTTTATTTTAAAGTTGCACTCTATAATAGTTTCATATTAAAAATGGGACAAATGACTAGATGTCATGTGAAAGGGGTCATTTGTAATGACAAACCCATAAGATAATTATCATTCAACCCACTGTACGCTACCTGCTCAGCAACAAACAACAGAGAGTAAGGGCCTGTCCACACAAATACGTTTTTTTCGAATCCGCATAAATACTTTATCGTATCGGCCTCGCGTCCAGACGGATACGGCGTTTTCAGGGTGTGAAAACTGTATTTTTTGGAAACGGGTTGCCTGGAGTCGTCTGGACGGCGAAAACAGATTTTTCCCGAAACAATTACATATTAGCCCCGCCTCTCTAGCCTTTAAACTCAGCTGCCGCTGCTAGACGCATCATGACAACAACAACAATGGCGGACTACCACTACTTGTTTGTAAGCAGCGCATGCTCCATGGCTTCTCTTCCGGTTTTAGTGTATTGGTGTGGCAGCGTCACAGCGCCACATACAGGCCTGGCATATGTACTACAGCGTTTTGGGTCGTTTCAATCTTGCGTATATAGTGGAGAATTTCGCTGCTAAAGGACCAGATATTTGTTCTCAGGAGTTGGTGAAGACTGAAACGTAGAGAGTAAATAGTTCAGTCTCTTATGGTTCCGTTTGTACTTCTCACTTCATTTGGTTTAGTACCTCCTGCCAGAGGACTGCAGTTAAAAATATTACCGGCTAGCTAACACTGGCAGATTTATAAGAAATGTTGATTAATGTCTGTTGAACTTCAAATGGATGCTATGATATGTCAATGTTGTTGGACCTTAAAGTTCTAGTGAAAAGTCAAAGTTTGACAGAATTATTATTTTTTTTAATTTTGACAAAATTATGCACAAAATTTACAATTTAGTGGAATAATGTAGCTGTTTAAAGTTGCCGTCGGTAACTTTTATAAAATTAGGCTTTTGTCATATTTGCTGAAACTTTCATCCAATCAGAGCCAAGAAAGATAGTTGTTTGTTTAGTGTTATTTACAGGAGATAGAAGTCAGAAATAAAACTGTATTCAGGCACTGCAGTAATGCATGCTGGTGGCTGTAAACCATTAAACTGTTCCACAGATTAAGAGGGGATATCTTGGGGCAGTATGATAAATCTACATCTTTATCCCTCATTTGTAAACTCTGCACATTCTCATAACCAGGCTCACTTTATGCAGAATGTGTGATTTACACAAAAAGTTCCCTTTTACTGACCTTTACTGCAGGTTTATGTATATAATGATGTCCTATTATTATTATTTAAACAGACAAGTGCACAGACAGACTGAAGACAATCCATCCATTTTCTACAAGCAGGGTAACCTAGGTAGGCCAGACATGACTCTCTCCAGCAACGTTTTGCAGCCCCTCCTCGGAGACCCTGAGGTGTTCCCAGCCAGGACAGATTTAATCCATCCAGTGAGTTCTGGGTCTAACCCCGGGTCTACTCCCAGTTGGACTTGCCCACACAAAGGAACAACAGCTCTGTTCCGAGCTCCCTCCGGATGTCCAAGCTCACCTGTACGGCCCAGCCACCCTGCGGAGGGAACTCATTTCGGCCGCTACCCCGCAGCTCGTGGCCACAGGTGAGGGTTGAACTGCCAATCGACTGGTGAATCAAAAGCTTTGCCTTCCGGCTCAGCTCCCTCTTTACCACAACGGCCTGGTCTAATGCCTGACAGACAGAAGTCAGATTCAATAACAGATGGACCACATCACTCTCTCCTCTGAATATTTTTCACTCAATATTTCCAAGAATGCTTACGTTGACAGGAATTCAAGCATGAAATAGCCTGGTGGTGGTTGATGTTTGGAAGTGTTGCACAATTCAAAAGCAAAGAAAACAAAGAAGAGTATCAGTGACAGTAAATAAAGATGATATTTATTCATTTTTGAGAAGAATCTCAGCTCATGCAAGGATACAGCTCTTGTAAACAAAATCACTTGAAAATATGTTATAAATGTGCACAGATTTCTTCTTGGTGTCAAACTCTGGAATGTACAATATGTGGAAGTTAAGCCGCATTACAGATATTACATGAAGAGCTGTGGCCCCACCCACCCCACCCCAGCCCCCCTTTCCCACGATGTGATTATTTCATCGCCCAGTATTGTTAAAGAGCTGCTGTGCTAAAAGGAAGTCTGTTTTATGTTAGGCATCAACATATTGCATGAGTGCCATGCTCATTAAGGTCAGATATATAGTATCAACTTGGTCAAAGCACTCTGGAGCCCAGAATTTTACATTGTGTACGCTGTTGCACTTGAATGTTTGCCAGCAGACACCAGCAAAAGCATGCACGCACACATCGAACACATGCAACAAAGCCTGAGGAGGATTTAAAAGCGAAGTAACACTTGTTTAAGACAATTGTGAGATATGTATAAAGATATTTAAAATTAAAAAAACAGGGAAGAACGGTAACCAGCACTTGTATTTGTGGTACACAGTAGTAGATGTGAGACAGTTATACAACATTTGATTTGGAAGTGAAACCTGCTTTAAATATTATGACCAATACTGAGGGCTGAAACGTTCCTCTAACCCCGTATAAAAGCCAGAGGGGTTCCACTTGGTACTGTACTGGTCTCCTCAAAAAAGTGTCTCAGCATGGAGATAAGCTGTTCATCAGCACAGAAGCACATTCTTGACATTCAGAACTCAGGGCTGCAGGCGGACTGAAGGTGATTCACATCCTACAATGCATTAGTTCAACTTACGCTGTGCTGCATATTTCTGTAGCCCTTGAGCATGCTAGCAGTGCTAAGAATTCAGTTCCAGGTATTAAAAAAAATAAAAAAACAGATTAGCATCCGGAAGGGCAGCAGCAGTTCTGTGCTGTTGAAAATGCTTTTGAGAAGAAAAAATAAGGACCGTCAGTAAGCAACCCATTTCTTTTTCTGTTCATGAGCTAAAGCCCCTATGTGTAGGATTTTAACTGTTGGCGACTCCTAGTTGTAGTATCGAACAAGACCAAGAGTCAGCCATGCTTACAGCTCTATGAGGCTGTACTTTGTTGAGCTAAATGCTTAACATGCAACAACAAATGTTTTGAAACCGCATGACGCATTTTTGTGTTTTGTAGAGAGCACTTACAAGTTTATTTGTAAAATGTCCGACAGAGTTTATCTAGGTCAATGTGTTGGCCGATATGTTACTGGATTTTTAAAAACTGGATCAGCTTTGATCAGGCAATAATGCTCACATGCTGATGTTAAGCGGGTATAATGTTCACCTACTTAGTTTAGCATATTAGCATGCTAACATTTGTCAATTACCAATAAGTAGAGCTGAGGTTGGAATGTCATTAGTTTTGCAGGTTTAAGTATTGCACCGATAAGAGTTCCTCATACCAGCTGAAAATCACTTTGCTGCCGTGATGTAGAAGTGTAATCCAGGGTGACCCAGTACACTGTGACATCATTGTTGGGTGAGGTTACCCAGCTGCGCATGGTCAGAGATGAAAGTAAGTTACTGTTGTCAATGCATCTTTTAGAAATTGAGCTATTTCACTGGATAATTGAAAACTTTGACCTGTTGGTGCTGTTACATGAACAATCAGGGGATCACCAACATCATTAGGATTAGGATTCATCCTCTGGGATCTATTAGCAGAAAGGTTCTTGTTCTTTTGTTCTTGGAAGGAGAGGGTGAAGCAAGGGTGTTGCAATCTACCACTACAGCACCTGATGCCACTTATTCCTACACACTGGTCCTTAAATGTGCGCACAAAATGTATTGGCGATCCATGCGATATTTATCAGCATGTTTCAGCCTGGACTGTAGGGGTGGATGGACACCTCAACTGACAGATAGTTATGGTCGTCTCTAGAGCTCTGACGCTGTAGTGGCAGACAGACTGCACCAGAACATACAAATATTTCCACCAAGAGATTTTTCATTCATTTGGTACTATATCAGCTTACACAAACATTAAAACTCTACACATAGGGGGTTTTAACTCTTTGCTCCTCAAACCGAGTTAGAACAAGGAGAATGTGAGTTAATCTCGTTATTACTGCTGCTTTGTACTGTGCGCTTCCAGTTTGTTTAACTCGTGTACTTGGAATGTGGGAAGATAAGTAGAGAGACACGCACACAAACACATACGATAAGGACAGGACAACTGATGAGTGCTGTGCAGGCTCATGCGTAACACTTTACAGAGCGGTAAGACAAGTCCCCTCTCAGATCATATGATTCACTTTGAATCAAAGAGGGATGGGTGGAAGGAGAAGAAGAACGGGCTGCGACAGGGATTAGAGGGATGGCGGCCTGATTAAATCCAAGAAAGTAAAAGCAGGTTGCAGAGACGATTATAATGAGGCTGCTTTTTTGATGGCAATGTGTTGGTCAGGAACTCTGTAAATCAAAGAATGCAGTCTCTTTTCCTCTCTCTTCCTCTTCTTCTCTTTAGAGGTGGTTTTTTTTTTTGCATGTGGATTCTGTCTACATTACCTGCAGACTAGCTAAACCTCTGGGAACATTCCCAGTGGGTGAAACAGTTTGACAAAAATAGAAGAGACCAGCATAGAAGAGGCCCTCTATATAGTATTTGACTAGGCATGTCAGTAGACTTAAAAAATATAGATATACAATATCATGCTGCAAAATTTCCAGACACCATCATGGTATATGTAAGCTCCCATTACAAACACTTAATATAATTTTGTTTTTTAACAGGCACAGTAGTGTTACCCTGGATAGGAATGCTAGAAACCATATAAAAGACAAAGAAAAATGAAAGAAGAGCTCTCTCTGAAGCGCTGCAGCTATGGAGTGGAGTACTGCTGACAGGCGCCGTGTAGGAAAAAGGAAAATCATTCGCCGTGAGGATCAAAATATGTTAACTGAAATCAAACATTTTCTTATCTTTTTTAAAATTTGTGCATCATAAAAAAATATGAGAAAGAAAAATCAGGCGAGGAAAACAAGCGCCCCCTGCTTTATACAAAGTCAGTAGTACTGAGAGCGGACCTCCTCCCCGAGGGGTTCGAGGAACGCCGGAGTGAAGGGGAGAGAGCGTGAGCGGCAGAGTTGTCCAGCACAGTAGTTCGAAGTAAGGCCTCAGTTTTTTTTCGTGTTGGCAAAATAAAAAAAAAAAGAAATAAAGAGAAACATATACATCTGTAACTTAATTACATCTAACTTGGGAAAAAAAATTATATGTGCAAAATTTAAATCTTACAAATGTGGGGAGAGTTTATTTTCGTAGATCACTGGAAAAGGATTGTACTCGAGGTGGTTCATCTCATTCCCCACCCTCTCTCTCTCCCTCCATTCCATTCCATCCGCCCGCCGCCGCCCTCCTGCACTCTGGTTGGTCGACAGGCCAGCAGCTGACCTTGAGGCTTGCTGTTGATTGGAGCTCGGGCTTCACGTCGAGTGGACGGTCTGCTTTAGTTTTTCTATCTCCCTCTGCGAGGACAAAATGCACACACAGAATGGAGGTTTTAACACTGAAAAAAAGGTAGAATGATACAAAGTGCTGGATCTGTCAGAGTGGTTGGAGCACACGGTTCAGCCAACATCATCCCCGCTGTGAGGCGCATTGCTGGAGGTGCCCTGCTGTGGCAGGATTAAGGAGAGTTGGAATGACAATGAAGATACTTACTAAAAGAGAACCTGAGCTGAGCTGAAATGTCTTTGACAGCGTGACCTTTTAAATTCAATATGAATATGAGGCCCTAATGGAGCTAGATTTATTCTGCTCTGCAGTTACGACCACCACTGACGTGGTTCTGTCTTTGGTCACAGCGCTTAATTATCCCTAAAACATGGGACAATGGGGAAGAAAAGCTAACCTGGCACGGTCCAAAAGGTAAAAAAAAAAAGAAAGATAGTATTCTGTTTCACTTTAAGACAGAACCAGCTAGCTGCTTTAGTCTGTTTCTGGTCTTTGTGCTAAGCTAATTATCTTTGGCTTTAGCTTAACGGAAAAAAAAGCCCAACTATTCCTTTATAGTAAAACCCTTTTCATCCACAGATTATGGACAGAATAAAAGATCTTCCCTCGTCTAGCACACCTATCAATCCAAAGCTCAGGCAGGTCTAAACCTATAGATCAACTGCACTGTGTTCAAGAATCCAAATCAGCCCTCTGGCTGCAGACTCAATGCACACATGAAACCAGTGGAAGAAGATGTTCTGTGGAAGGGAAAGAGAAATCAGTAAATCTGCCCCCCCCCCGGTTTTTCATCTCATTCTACACATCTGTGGAAGTTTGGAAGTTAATAGTAAGAGGGTTTAAACAAATCTGCAGTTGTGTTTCTGTGTGTGGACTGTGTAACCCTGGAGCGCTCTGCAGGGGTCCTCTGCTCCTGTGATGTGATTTTATAGTGTACTGGTGTCGTGCTGGGATGAGCCGGGCCGTGTCTGCAGCGGTTTCACAGGAGAAATCTAATGGTCAGGCTCCTGATGCCGGGTCAGAGCACAGGGAGGTGCAATGTGTTCACTGCAGCGAGGGGAGACCCGAGGGGCCGCTGAGCATTATGGCAGCCATGTGAGTAACGGAAGGCTTGTGCAAACAAGCTAAGCTATCCTACAGAAATACAGGATCAAAATTGGTCGATACAGCCTGACTGTTGCTCTCTTAATTGGTTTAAACTAAAAATAATAATAATAATAATAATAAAAATAAAATAAATAAAGCAAGATCCTCCAATCCCCACAGTGCTCATTAGACCCTCTCTGCCACAGCTGACATCATCAGGGTTATATTTTACTTTAGAAAGGTCCTCCTTAGACCTAGAGGTTACTTTAGCAGCGCTGTGGAGCTGTTTTTCTGTGGGGGTCGGTGTGTTTATCTCATGCATGAGGATGTACATGCACATGCTGGGGGCACACAGAGTGTTTTGGTGAGTAACACTGAAAAGATAAAAATTCAACAGGGAACCTCTAATTAGTTAGACTTACTAAGTGTTTAGACTCTACATTTCCATAACAACTTGGCAGGCTTCATCTGCTAATGAAGACTGAAAGGGTCGAAAACTCCAAAACATCTTTGGGCTAAATTTGGTAAGTGACAGATGGACAAGAAACACAAGGAGAGTCAGGGAGTGGTGATTAACAGAAATCTGCTGCCTGCACTGAACCAGGGACACTGAAGCTGCCCGTTATATGTTTTGCTCCACAAGTTCACCAAGATGTTCCCAAATGCTACGTTTAACTCTGGGCTGAGTGCCTGGGACCAGAACACAGGCCAATATAAGGCATTTTCTGAGGGCACCAAAGCCAATTGAAGAACTACCAGTGTTCAGTGTTCAAGTGTTAATGAACAAGACAATGTCAAGGTTAACTTGATCATGAACTTAATCAAGATCACATGACACATGGATACAGTTTGTAGCCCAAAGTCGTCCCCTAAAGCTGTGAGAAGAAACCCTTTTATCACTTTATAAGGGCAGTTGTCTGCATCTATACTGACTGCTGCGCTCACTGCTGGTCAGAGGCCAGAAGTTCCAGACTGTATTTACCTGTCTGTCCTGCGTTGGGTTAACCGTGCATGCCAGTCATTGCACTTGTTCTGATATGCATGTGTGAACAGACAGCATCAATACTTGGCTAAAATAATGAGAGTAATGAATGTTGACAGCTCAGCATGTGCTGCTATAGGGGGTCGATGTTACCTGCAGGGCTACGCGCTTTAGCCTCTCCTCATCCAGCTCTCCTCGTAGCTCTGCTATCTCTTTCCTGGAGAGAGAGAGAGAGAGAGAGAGAGAGAGAGAGAGAGAGAGAGAGAGAGAGAGAGAGAGAGAGAGAGAGAACACACACATTAGCACCTGCAGCATATACAAGAGGTTTAAACTTACTTAAACTTATGGTCTTTTTCAAATAAAGTGTAAAGAGGACCCATTATGCTCATTCTTGCACTAGATTAGCTTTGCTTTGGCTAAATTAGCCAAACGCTAACATCAACAACAGGTAGAGCTTTGTTCATCAGTAAACTCGCAACTTTCCTTTAAAACAAAAAACGCACTTTCTGCAAGACATACAAAAACTTGTAATGGACTGAGCGGGTGGATGGGCGTGTCTTATCAACATATTAAAGATGGGTGTTGTGTCTCCACTTCCTCCCACTATACAAAAACCACGCCAAATTATCCCGGTTACGACTGCTGCCATCTTTCGCCCTTCAGAGCCAGAGTCTGCGCAGTAGTGACTACGGCTGGCGCATTGGTATTGACACAATCGTGAGCAGCAGCCCTTTAGATAGCTTCAAATAAGTAATTAAAACCAAACTTATCAGAAAAATGAACACTTGATAGATACACATAGATCACTGAAAAGAAAGGAAAGTATAATTGGGCCTCTTTAAAGGCTGACACACTTTAAGAAGCACAGCATCTCATTCACGTATCTGAATTTGTGGTTAATGCCCAGTGACCATGTTTCTACTGAGCCAAACAGCAGATTTCGCTTTTAAAACAGCCAGAAACACAATACATAAAGTGACAGTCTGACCTATAGAAAGTATATCATGATATATAATTTCATTAAGTAACCAACTTCACTATGATGTGGGCCATGGGGCAATGTTGGTTGGAAAATTGCTTTAGGCATTGTAAACACTTGACTGAATTTTAAACGATTTCTAATTCAGAGTGACGGGACTGTTGTATAATGTAAACAGACAATCTTGGGCTCAAAAGCAGCTTGTAACTTCTCTCAGACCTCATTCTGTCACATTAGTTTGTCCTGTCACTGTCCAAACAAACAAGAGCAAGCATGTTCAAACCCTGTTCTCATCCACATTGAGTTTCTTACATTTGCTGGGACTTGAGGAGCTCCACGGACAGCAGCAGCTCCTTCATCTGATTCCTCAGCTCCTCCAGCTCTTCCGACTCCAGCCTGGCCCTGATGCCCAGCGATGCGACGTCTGAGCTTGGGCCTGCGGCGGGGCTCGGCTTGGTCTCGGTGCTGGCGGCGGGCCTATTGAGTAACGGTGACTGGGATCTGTTTGCGGAAGGCTGTGGACATAGGAACAGGGAGATATGTGGCCATAGTGTGTATGATTCACATTATTTTCATACTTGTCAAACATCCTGCATCCAGGATAGAAATGTTTCATCCCAGGATAAATGTGATCACTCAGAATAACTATAATTGATTTGCAGTGACCCTTTTTCCTGAGGGGACAAATGTCAAGAAAATACCTTGGTGAACAATGATTCATCTGATCGTTTCACCTTTCTCCACATCTCTGTAGACCTGTGCCTTCATTTTCTGGATCACCGAATGGGCATTCATCTTTGTAATGAGAGCTCTATGCACTGCAGCCCACCTACAATATCTCTTTATTACAAGTTTTCTTTCAAACATTTGTCTGATCCCATCCTGCGATGACAAACTGTCATGTTTTTTTAAGTTTTCATGACATCTATCATGTGTCTCTCTCATGGAACAGGGCAAAACAATTTTTACAGTCCACCTTTTTCTCTGGGCCTAAGCTTGGGCAGGGAATTAAAATAGGCATTCCTGCTCTCAAGTGATTTCTGGACGCACAGGGCTCTGCAGCCAAGTTAGCAAGAATAAATATGCAACGTCCGGTTAGAATTTTCAAAATAAAGCTTGCATGGATAATGTGAAATGGTCCTAGTTTGGTTAGGTTTAGGAGTTACATACCTGACATAACTTAAGTAGGATTTGCAAGCTTACTTACATTTCTTTAAAGAAATGGTTTACTTTTGGTTTCACATGGGAACAAAGAGCAGTTTCCTTTGTTTGTTTGGGTCATCCATCAACCGTACCACCACACCTCTTTCGATGGTAAATGACACTACTTTAGAAAAACTAGTGAAAATCCACATGCTTGTTCTGTACAAAATTCTACAGTCCATTCAAAGCTTTTACAAGCAGCAACTGAGTGGGTATCTTCCAAAGTTACTGTCTTTATACAACAAAATCCCCTCTTGGACAGCGTTTCCTCACTGAGCCAAAGCGAACTGATACATTTTGACAGTCGCATGTAGATTTGTTACTGGGACAAAACACTGGCAATATACTGTAAGGGCACATGGATACCAGGACCAAGATTTTATTTGGCTTACTCCATGTGCTGAATATTGGCTTCAACTTCACTTTGGAAAACATTGTTGGACAGAGGACTGTGGATTTTTCTTTTTTTTGTTTGTTATATTGGATTTGTGCTTTGAAGGGAACCTCTTCATAGCCAGTATGGAGAGGAGAAATGATTACAGTGAACAGTAATTCTCTCAACATACACTTATGAGTGTTGTTTTAAGAAAGACTCAAATCTATAGCAGACCTTTTTATGGTTCTTTCCTTATGTATTCATGTTTTCCCTTTAATTTAACACCGGTATATGGTATTTCATTATAATGGTCCATATTATTATTGCAACATATATAGCAAGAAAAGCTGTCCTGGTAGGACTGGTGTGACCCATCCCACTCATTAATTTAAACTAATAAAAGAAAAGGGAGTTTGCCCTTGCCGTCATTGGAGGCTAACCGATGAAGGAAGGTCATGAAGGCAGCTGTTTTTTCCGCCAATCTTTGATGCTGGTATAACGCACCTTTTCCATTCTACCTCAGCAGCCCCAGTTATTCAGTTTCAATAGGTTCAATGGCTGCAACCTCTTCTGCCCCGGAGGCCTCGCATATTCTCTTCCGCTCTCATTCTTCACCGGAGTAAATGTTACAAGGGTCAGAATCTCATTTTGAAACAACAAGAGGGTGAGGAGAAGGACACTCAGGGTACATGTCCTGTAATTTCACCTCTGGATGTCTGAACTGCTGGGTTATAAATGCTCCAAGCAAGGCTTTGTTCCTGTCTGTCTGTCTGTCTGTCTGTCTGTCTGTCTGTCTGTCTGTCTGTCTGTCTGTCTGTCTGTCTGTCTGTCTGTCTGTCTGTCTGTCTGTCTGTCTGTCTGTCTGTCTGTCTGTCTGTCTGTCTGTCTGTCTGTCTGTCTGTCTGTCTGTCTGTCTGTCTGTCTGTCTGTCTGTCTGTCTGTCTGTCTGTCTGTCTGTCTGTCTGTCTGTCTGTCTGTCTGTCTGTGTGTGTGTGTGTGTGTGTTTGCTTTTAACAACAGAGTGGCCTGATGCTGTGTACCCCCAGCTGAACAGCGAGGTCTAATTAGTCTTGGTTGACCATGACCAATGCAGACTAGATAGCATCTGAGGCAATTAATGAAAGGAAGACTGAACAGCGGGTGGTCTTCCTCGCTCTACCTCCCTCTGTCCTTGCTTGCGTCTGTTACAAACAAAACACGCTACAGAAAACTGTCTCGCCTTCTCAACGTGGGAAACGTGTGTTTTGTTCGTCGCTCAACATTGTGAGGTGGTTTGTGGGTAAAACCCTTAAATGCCTCTAATGATGTTGCTATACTGCTCCCAGTAGATCTGACCGCAATGGAACATGATTATGGGAGTGGTTACTGCATCTATTAAAGCCACTATTACTGAAGTCATTCCTAAATCTGTTAGGTAGGTGACAGGTTGAAAGGGTTCTTACAAAGGGAAAGGTTTTGTATTTGTTAGCTGAATGCCACAGTATACCCAGCCTCAATGATAATAGATTTAAAAATTTTTACTTGTGTGCTGTTTATAGAAATGTATGTTTTCATTACAATTATCTGTGGCAGTGATAGTGTTCATCCCACTCTTTCTAATACGGCTAAGCTTCTTGCCTTCACTTTTTTTTCATTGAATTATTTCTAGTTGCTGCTGATTTGTAAGATCAAGGCAGGGATGTCTTTATCATTTTAATTCTGTTATGAAGAAGAGTTATATAAAAAAGACATACAAAAGCTTCCACCTGCTAAGTTGTTTTTTGCAACTGTGAATTTTGTAATGTATTTGTATTTTGTACCAGCTGCAGTTGTTAATTTTCAACAAGGAAATCAAACGCTGGTCTTTCCCCGGAGGGCTCGCATACTGTTACAGGGGTCAAAACCAGAAGATATTCTGTTTACTATCATTGAAGACAAAGAAAACCAACAAATATCAATAATTGAAACGTTGTACACAGTGGACTTTACACATTTTGCTTAAAAGCAATACATAAATTAATAAAATTATTGTCTTTTTATTTTCTGCTGAATGACTAATCCGCTATTTACCTAATTGATTCATCACTACAGTGTAGCCTGTTCTTACAGTATTTATTTCTTGATTCATTTGTGAACAGTAGGGACAAATTGTATTTTAATTTTATTTTTTATTTTTTTGTGCATAGCAACAGGAGAGTGGTACCCCATGCACTGTACAAACCGTCTATTATCTATTTTGATACATCCCAAAGAAGCATGTGTGACAGACGTTTAATAGTGCATGACTGGAAGCAGCAGCACAAACAAGGGTTTAATTCCACTGCTGTAGTGTAGTAAGAACTACACAATGCTAGCTAAAATTATAGTGTCAAAGACTGATTGGATAACCTGCTGCTCACCTCAGAAAATCCAGAGATTCCAGTTGTGCTTTACAGCATACCTGAGGGATTCTAACTGTTATTTATAATTTGCTAGAGTTAGCTTTTGTTCAGTGCTTGACAGCTAAGCTAGCAGATAATTGGCGATCAGTGTTACTGTTTGTCCAGTTCTCATCTCATCATTACGTATCTAAATCTACCTCTAGTTTCAAAAAGCTTTTATGATGGCTATGGAACTGAAGTGTTACAAATAGAGAGAGGATCCAGATTAAATCATTTAGAACAAAACCATAAGAGAAAGAAACAATGGTCGTCAGGTATGCACATTCACACCCGGCTGGCTGCTGATTGGGCCACTAAACGCGCTGCGATCCTTGTCCACAATTTTTATATTAAAACAATACAGAGTGGCATTTCTCTCTAACAGAACGTCTTTGGCTGAGCGTACAGTCCCCAGTATGCAGCACATGTAACAGCCAAGTTTCATTTTTACAAAGAAAAACTGTAAATACAGTTCCCAAAAGGTACAAAGGGATGTGATATTTTATGTTCTAAGGGCACAATGGTGTTTGCCATCTGTAACTATCATGATCATGGTTACCTTTCTGGTTTCTGTTAGCTTTGGTTTGGCTGCATCCTCTTCGTCGATCTTGAAAGATTTCTCCACGTTCACTTCCTTATTGGGCTGCAAAAGAAAAGTTCTATTTACCATGTGATTTACGTTAATATTTTTACTTGATTTTCAGTTTACAGCTTCCTGACTTCTGACACTTAAATGCAGCAGATTGATGTCTTGACACTAGCTCTGAGAGATGATTTGAGGAGAGGAACGTAGGCGGTGAGACCCCTGTGTGAGTAGGGTTGCCTTTAAGTGGCCGCTTTACCAGGTTTCATATGGTCAGGAAGCGACTGTGAAAGTGCAAATTGTTAATACAAGTTTCAATATAATGTGCTACTTGTGATGAGCATGAGCTCGGCGGAGGGTGAGTGTGCGAAGGGAGGTGGAAAGGTTACGGAGAGCAGGAAACCCATGGTGAGGAGCATCAATTTGAGAGGCGAGTGAGAAAAGAACAAACCGTTCTGATAATAAAAAAGGGACTGCGACATGAACAGACTGAATGAAATCGGGTGCATACTGTGTTTGTAGAATTAAACACTGATCAAGTAACTGCAAGCTGCCATCAAATGTCTGCACAGAAATGTCTTGACAACCTGTTCTTGATTACATAAATCTAAATTTTGCCCATTTTATTAACTGCTACTAGAGCTGTTATGATTGTGTGTACTTCCCCGTACTTTGAGAAACAGGTGTCTTGGTTTCTTTTGTTAAATGATAAAAAATTTTGTTTGGTAGAAAAACAGGTTCATATTTCTTAGTGGAAGATTTAGAAATGTGTAGCTTTGGTATCAGAGCTAAAAGTCAGGAATTGTGTTGACACTCAAATAATACCTGGGCCTAGTAGCAGGTGTTCCTGGTGAGGTGGACTGTGGGATTATCATAAACTTGTGATTTATATTTTTAAATCAAAAAACCCTTGAGTGTATTTGATGAGAGAAGAGATAAGGTGGTATAATTTAATATTAGGAATCCTTTCCGAATCCAAATCCTTTCAAATCTAATTGAATCTAATTAAATTTAGCTTTCAGAACTCGATTCAAATTCAATTTAGATCTATTTAGATAACCTTTGCATTGGCTGAGAAATGTTTGGCATCTTAATTAACATTCACAATCTGGAGCTAAAATATGAATTATATGAAATGATTAAATGCATCTTACATGTAGCTAGCATCAAATATCACAGATCACTATTCAAAACCATCAAGTTGAGTAGATTCAAATATGCATTAGATGTGCATAAAAGTTGAATCTGGAGATTGTCCTTACGCAGCTGGCTCGTTCTCTACAGAAGAGGCTCCACTCTGATGGTCTTGCTAAACTACTAAACCAAACTTGCAGTTGTTGAGTGGTCTTTCCCTCATCATCTTTCTTTCCCTCACCAAAAGACAGCAGCTGGCTGAGAGCACATTAGCAAACCGAAGTTTTATTTTAGCCATCACAGAATTAAAGCTGCAGTAGGTCATTTTATAAAAGATATGCATTATATTGGCTGAAACTTTCACTATATCCTGACAGTAGAACACGAGACAGATAATCTGTGAAAAAAAGTACGGTTCCTTCGGCTCCTCCTAGTGCTCCTCACAATCAACTATCATTCTTGGTCCTGATTGGTTGCTTTTTTTCAGGCCCGGTGAATTCTCACAAATGCCATTCAGAGTGCTAGAACGAGCCAGAGGAACCAGGTTCTCTCACAGATTATCTGTCTCTGTCTGTACTACGGTGTACTTACTCACTGTGGCTTTAACGTTGATTAGCTTCAACTGACACCAATGATGTTTGTCAATTTAACCAGCGAACGCAAAAGGTCATCACCGGCTAAATTATAATGTCTTTAAATTACAATTTGCTATTTAACTACCAAAGAGGGAAGAAAGACAAAAGGTTTCAGAGATTTGTTAGTACTGCTACCAGAACCCAACTCTAATGGATAAACAGTATGTGGAAGTAGACTGTGACATCACCAGCGACAGCAATGTGACATGACCTCTCGTCTCTCACAATAAATCTGCAGTAAAATGCAAATTGGAAGATAACAGTATCAATTTCACATGTTTTGCTTATTATGAACATCCTAAAATGTTCAAACAAATATCGTTAAACTGGTGATGTGCGTGGGCACCCTGTTGGGAATTTAGCTCCAACTGTGCCGTCATAATCTGTGTGTGAGCGTGCTGAGTGATGTGCTCACCGACTGTCCTCCACCAAACTGGGCAGGCAGCCTCCTGCCAGGCATCTTTGGTCTGTTAACTGTGGGGTGAGAGAGCTTCTCCGAGGTAGACGACAAGTCATCAAAACTCATCAGATCTGTTGAGAGTAGATGAGGGAGGCAGAGTCAGAGAGAGATAAGGGAGGAAAATAACAGAGGAAATTATTTATTATAAAAAGGAATATTTCAGCCGTGACTAAGGAGCACCCAAGGGTGTCTCTGACACTTCTGATTTAATTACATTCAATTTGAGTGCCATGTCATTGCTGGTAAACAACTTGTGCACGCGTGTTATTTCCTGCCCAGCTAATTATTTTAGCAAGTAGAAAATAAACTGTTAGAATGCTCATATTTTTTAGTGTGAAATAGTCTATCAAGTAAACAAACCCAAAGCTGTTGAGATCTGTACATTTCTGTAAAGTGCCTAGAAAAAAATGTAATATAGACAAACATTCAGAACAGACTCTGAATACATTACCATTTAAACAGCAGTCTAAATGCAAAGACTTTCTGGGTTTGATAGGTGAAATCACATTTTGTGACACACACAGACACACACACAGACACACACACAGACACACACACAGACACACAGACACACACACACACACACACACACACACACACACACACACACACACACACACACACACACACACACTCTACCTTACTGTTCTTTATGTTGCTTTTAAGCTACTATCAATGATAGACTTCACTTCCTGCAAATGTTTCACTTTACAAACTGTCAGGAAAGGAAAAGATTACTACCTTTAACACTCTCGAGCAAGGGTTCAGCAACCTTTATCTGTTGTAGCTGCATATCTTATTAAATTAGTAAATTCTATCCTTTTTTGGGAATAAGTGAATAGAAATCAAATGTACACTAACAACAAACTTATAATGGAGGAAGGAATGAGTCACACCCACAACAGTGAAAAACTTTATGGACTCTTGTGTAACAGCACTTTACAGAAAGCACTGTCTGTGATGGCAGCAAAGATGGAATTTTCATGTTCCATGGCAATGCGTGTCAGACTGACTTATGGTGAGAAGTGATGAGTTTTAGCAGCTCTTTATCGCCTTTACGAGGCATGTGTCACAGAGTACTCTCCAGTGACACACCCTCAGGTCAGCTCTATGAAATCCATCTCAGGTGACTTTTCTCTGCCGCCTGTCTGTTCCCCTGTGCTTCCATTGATAACTAAACTCTTCTCTTCCACTCTCAAAGCATCAGACTCCAAACTATTTTAATCTGTTCAATCATGTCTCACAGTCGGCTCTGCTTTAATTATTGGAGGTGATGTTAATTACAGTTCGTGTCTTCCTCACATTTTTCAGCATTTTGTGGAAGGCATTTCCTTTTTGATGCACAGACCCATTTTCCCAAACTCACATTAACCTCTAAAATATGCAGAACCTGACAGCTGCAGACTGTTGATTGACAATGTTCTACGGGTTGGTGTGAGCGAACAGTTGGTGGGAAAGGTTAATGACGAAGATTCATTCAGTTTATTCCATTTTAAAAGGAGATGATACTTTTCATAATTTTATTTTATTTTTTTCAAATGAGAACTTTTTGATACATTCATGACACATTTTCTACATTTTGTGGCAATTGGCAGACTTAAATGAATAAATAAGGGGAAAAAATCACCTTAGTATTCAATCAGATCCATGTCTCCATAAAATGAAAGTAAAACGAAACCTAGATAAGACGTACTTAACTTTTGTCTTGCAAAGCTTATTATTAAGTTAATAATAGTTGCCCTTTAGATTTAGCATGCACAGAAAGTACTAAGTCAAAAGTAATCATGCTGTGGCAGATTTGGGTGCCGCAAACTCAAGTGAAGACACATCTGCTGAAGTCACACATGTTAATGAATATTCTGAGTTGCATGACAGGAGCCAAACGAAGAAGGTCAGAGGCAGAAGTCAACATTTACTATCTTTTAATGCCAATTCATTGCTGCAGATCAAGCATGCTGGTAAGCTGGCAGTGCTGGTGGTGAAAGCAAATATCACACACACAATCACATTTTCTGTTCTCCTCTGAGACATTTCTCTCTTTGGATTTGGAATCCATAGCTTGACTCGCTTGGGTGACTCTAGTAGCCACCGCTATTGAGGTTCAGCAGAATAAGGAGGAAAAGGTCAGGACGTAATGTATGATGCATTTTTAGCTGATGAAATGTTATTTTGTCATTTGTTTTTATTCTGTATATATAATGGCTATACATTTTTTCAAATGTATGCAACAATGATAAACTGAAATATTACAAGAAAATATTAAAACATTTTTCAATTCCATATAATGTTTTGTCAGAGCCACAGGGAGTCACTGTATAGGGGCTAAAGAGCAACAGAATTCTTATTTCATCCCGAATGTCTTGTGTAGTTAGAAAAAATAATTAGTACAACTAATCACCTCATTATTCATTCAACTAGAGGATTCTGTAGTTTGACGTAATCTCTAGGCCATACTGTACATACCCATATCCGAGGACTTCTCCCCCCAGTCCCCAGACAGGGTTTTGGGTTTGGTGGGCAATACTGGCTCGAAGTCGGACTTTGGTCGCGTGGAAGGCACCTCTCCATTGTGCCTGCAGATAACAGGAGACATTGAAAAGAAAGGGAAGAAACATTTACAAAAAAGCAAAATGGAAATACTGGAATGTGGAGTTCATAGTTTAAAACGCCAGAGGCGTTTAGACAGGTGCTGAACTTACTTGAGGTTTGGTGAGGGAGCGAGAGGCTTGTCTGGCCTCTTTGGCGGGAGGCTTCCGGGTCTGCCTTTTCCAGGAGGGGGGACCGGCTTCTTGGGAGGGACCACCGGCGCTGCAGGCTTGGATGGTTTGTGATCTGGCGTAGGCCTGTCAACTGAAACAGAGAGTTGAGAGAGGAGTTGAAAAGGAGGAGGAGAGGGGCCAAATTGTGGTCAATGTGTGGATGAGAAAGGAGAAAGCAAGTGGCAGAGAGGAGAAATTGTACACACGTTTGATGAAAATACCCTTTTAATCTGGACAGTCAGCTAGTCTTCAAGAGAGCACTATAACTCAACCTTCCTGTACTCAACTTTACAAATACACACTGAGGGGTAACTTAATTATTTCAAGTCTGAGTCACAAAAGGTTTATCTGTTTTTGTTTTCCTACAGAGCTCAAACAAGCACAACAAACTGATGTTCAACAAGGTTGTCTGCTGATAAAGTTTGTGCACAGTTGGTCCTATGACGTGGTTTACCTACTAATGACATTTTGTTCTATCTGGAGTTTCAGCATAGTGGCGCAGTTGTCATCAAGTATTCAATATTCAAAGACTAATGGCTTCAGAAATTCAGATGGGAATTACAGAAAGTGACTTTGATTTGGGATTTTGAGATCTGCTTCACTGAAAGCAGGTTTAATTCCTGATTTGTAAATGTGACTGATGACTTTATCAGCCTGATGAACTCATTAACTCTGAAGAGTCCAGAGCTGTTCAGCATATATTTAAGAAAGAAGATAGCTAAATGGATATTGATGCAGCTCACAGGTGATTGTCGCATCAAATGTGCCTGATTTTTATGCTCTAAATGCTCCATCTCATTTGCATTTGAAAGGGAGACTTAACATGTACTTGTTTACATGTGGGGATAAACTCGTCTGAAATGAGTTATGCTACCTGACATCGCTGTGTACTGAGAGTTGAAAATGACAACAAAAATCAAGAACAATAAGCTTCATTGGGACAGAGGTTGAATAGTTACTGGGCTAAACCACATGTTAGGAGATATTTATGGAAGAGAGAAGCTGGTTTATTTTGTCTGCTGTGATTGACATATGCAACTGGAAAATTCAAGGTTTCTGAATGTTCTTAAAGTCTCTTGAGTAGATTTAAGCTGCAGTAGATAGCTTTTTCCAATATTTGCTGAATCTTTCACTATATCCTGACAGTATTATATGAGACAGATAGTCTGTGAAAAAAGTCTGTGGTTCCTCTGGCTCTCCTAGTGCTCCTAATGGTATTTGATAAAATCCACCGGCCCCGAATGGAACATCAAAGCTGAGAGATTCCATTAGGAGCACTAGGAGGAGTCAGAGAAACTTTGTTTTTTCACAGATGATCTGTCTTATGTATTACTGTCTGAACATAGTGAACGTTTCAGCAAATATGACAAAAAATATATATTAAAAATAAATAAAAGTTACATACCGCAGCTTTAAAGCTGAAATAAGGTTTTATATAATAACAGTGTAAATTTAGTCAGTAACAAGACTGAATAACTGAACTGATCTATTTATTTTCTACACAACTACATATGAATAACTTATCTTTATTATCATTATTATTATTATTATTATTACTATTATTGAGTCAGTTTTGATTAAAAAGCTCTATAGAGCCCAACTGAATTCAATTGATTAGGTCTGAAATTCTTGTGAGGTGCCAAAGACGTGGCCCTCACAGCAGTATAGGCAAACGCACACACAGCTCACTTCCTGTGTGCAGTTCAGTAAGATAGGAACTGCATAGACAGCACGACTTAATATCATGTGTTATTCACTGTTCATTGATTTCATATGTTTTATCAGTTTTGTCTATGCTGTTTTTTAACAAACATACCATGTTGTAACTGTCACTTTAACATATTATACCTTTCATTCAATATTTTGCTATATTAATAAGAACACACTGAGGCTCAGAGAAAAGTAAAGGAAGAAAACAAAAACAAAAAAAAGAAGACAAAGAAACAATAACAAGGCACTGCAGGGACAGTTTTGGTTAAATTTCACTGGTCAGAATCAGCTTCAGAAAATGATGTTTTAGTCTGGGGCCTGCCAGCTGTGCTACACTATTGCACACACCTTGCTTAGGGTTGCTGAGAAATATGCAGCAGCAATGCAGATTTCCACCTTTCAAGTTTCAACCACAAGTTAAGTTCTTGTGGAGCTTTTATGTTGCTTGTTAGGGGACTTCAAAAATGCAATGCTGATTTGTGTTTCTTGCACAATTATACAGGGAATAATACACTATAGAGCAGCCCAGAATGCACAGTAACTCCCTTCGCAAAAGGAGCGTTGCTGGAGTCACACACACAACACAAGTTCAGGGCAAAGAGGAAGAGTGGAAACATTCAACAGTGTGTTGAGTAAGAGACTGTGCGGTCTTAATGTGTGTGCCAGCACTGTTACTCAAGTATATCTGGAGGGAGAGCAGCAGTTAAAGAAGGTGAGGATGAAGCTTAGAGGGCAAATGTAGGAGGGATGAATACGCTGAAAGAAGAGGGCAGAAAAAGAGACCCCTGAGGCGAACAATTAGTGGAAAGGAACATTTATTCAAGTACTGCATTTAAGTGGTTTTGAGGTACTTCTATTTTACTTTGTACTTCTTCTCTACTATATTCCGGAGGGAAATATTGTACTTTTTACTGCACTACTTTTATCTATTATTTATCCGATGGTTAGAGTTAATCGTTGCTTGATTTTTCCACAAAAACATATGATCCTTTTTTAAAATACAATACATTTTTACAGATTAGAATCAGCAGATTACAACCTTTTGCCATTTTCTTTTTCCTGGGTTGGGAACCACTTGACTAAACTGCTTACTGTATCATTAAAATAAGATCCACGTTGAGCAGCTACAAGAGTAAAATGCTGCTTACACAGTGACGCATCAGGGGCCGTTTTACTGCAGAATTACTTTTACTTTTGACACTTTGTACATTTTACTGATACAACTTCTATACTTATAAGGATGACCACCTGTAATGGAGTATTTTAAATTAATCCATCGGTACTTTTAGGATCCGAGTACTTCTAACACTGGGGAGGACGATACAGATGAATAAAAAGGAAGCAGAATGGCCCCTTAAAAATGGTCCATCTACTTTATCCCTGGGTCAATACAGGAGTTAATGGTGACATAGAATAATAGAAATAGAAAATTTGGAATTCTTTTTTAACAATAGATAGCTTTTGATGTGTGGTGCAAAGCTGTGAAGAACATGACGAAAAGGGATGATAAAATGAGAAGGTACAGATGGAGAGTCCTACCTCTGTCCTCTGGCCTGATGGGATGAGGCTTCTTGTCGGCACTCGAACGTCCGGCTTGAGAGCTGAAAAACGAAACATGTTCCACATAGAGTCACCACGTCTGTCTGACCTGACTGATTCAAGACGCTCAAGACATTGACAAGGAAGACGCACACAAAACCACACACCGCCCTCTACTAGGCATTGACAGACAGAAACAGATTTATTTTTTTCTCCATCTGGCATGTAAACACTGTACTCTGTGTGTATGGGCACGCACCCATTTGTGGTTTTGTTTGTGCAAGACATATACCCTTACTGAAAAAGACCGAGAGGAGAGGAGAGGAAGTCGACTATAGATTTACATATTTACTGATGTCTCCAACACACACACACACACACACACACACACACACACACACACACACACACACACACACACACACACACACACACACACACACACACACACACACACACACACACGAGTTATCTGAGTGTTAACTGTTAACTTCCTGTGCAGACAGGAAAACAATGATGCAAGTATGCATTTTGCAAACTGTAGATGTCTGTGCTGATCCCTCTGAAGCACTGCTGTTCTTACAGTAACACCACAAAACTGTGCTGAATTTTAGTTTCATGTTTGCTGCAAGAAAAACTAGAAAATTTCGATTTCAGGAGGACAACCATGTCGATCTGTAACAGGCGTTTTGAGTTGAATTAAAACTCTACATTTCAGGCTTAGTCCCCGTCTGTGAATATTATTGACTTGCTGACTTAGAAAGCCTTTTGAGAAAGGAAACAGAAACAAACCATGGCACATGGACATCCCCCCTCCCCCCCCCAAGCCACGGGGCTGACCTCAGCATCTGATTTCTGACGTATCATGCAAACAAGAAGCACATTTGGTTACAGGAAGACCCCTGTAAGACGTAGCTCTCCCATTTTATTTATGTGACTGTTATCACAATCAGTTAGCACCTTCAGACTGGAAACAAGCCCCGTCAGCACTGCTAGAAATTTAAAGGAATAAATTATTTTTAATTGGTTAATACATCGACCTGATTATTAAGGTCCAGGTCGTATTAATGTAATTACTTATATAATTAGAAATTACTGTTATATACTGCTGGAAAGTAGTGAAGAAAATGTAATATAACAAATCATCCTAGATCATATGGTCCCTACAGGTTTTCAATCACACTTCACAGTAGTATAATGTAAAAGGTGTTAAACTGCATTCTATGTGGTCTTAAAAAGTCTGAAATTTTACTTGGGAACCATGCAGAAATGTCTAATTAGTGTGTCTTGGCTGTACACATTTATAAAGGCAACTGTCATATAGCCACTAGTGTTTCCTTCTCACTCCACCTTCCAAAACAAGCTTTCCTATCCTGTTTTCTCTTTGGCTTTACTGAGCTGAAGTTTAAATGAATTTGAATTGATAATACAACAGTATTTCTTCTCCTACCAGCTCTCAGTCTGTCATATACTCATTTATAGTCTTGTTCTGTTCCACTGTCGTGATATTTTAGCCCATCACAATCTAACCAGACAATGCCATTATACTATTCATTATGCCTAGATGTCTGGAATCAACCTTGACGTTTAAGGGTGAGTGGAAACATTTATTTTAATGAGAGACTCGGTTAATGTGAAATGTGCTGAGACTGAAACTAACACGTAATTCAATACTACAATTACGCATCATATCAATGCAATATTTTATTTTAATACGAGGTAAATGCATTCAATATTATTATAAACAACTGAGCGTTTGTTGATGAACCATTGCAAGATGCATCAAAGTAGCACCTACTCCTCACACCTTCACCTGAGTTGATGGCATGTAGTGAGGTGCAGGGTGCAAAGTGTTTCTTACCTATGCTTTTTGATGGTGGAGGTGGCTTCTTCGGCTTCTGACAAAAACAGAAAGGGGGAGAAAAAAAGAAAAAACAGATCAGACGGACATGAAAGTGGATGGTGTGTCATTAACGCACTCTGACATCTATGTTCCCAAATACAGGAACCCCAACCCGGAAAGAAAGGGGAAAGGGTCAGCAAATTAGGTTTGGTCTAAATTAGGAAAATCTAATTATTTCCCAGAATTACAACGCAAACTCAAATGCAAAGAGGAAAAAGCTACGGAATTAACCTTCCCAGCATCTTTACTACAACTATTATTAATATTTAAATCTATGTCAGTTTAATCCAATTTAAGCTAATTAAATAATTACAATGTATGTTTTTTTTCCTTATCATTTGTAGAGGCATTTCACCAATCAGACAACGTGGCAACATAAACCAACAAGAAGAGTCTGCACTCTAAGAGATTGTAACTTGAACAAAGTTCAAACACTTCCAGTAAGTCAGCTGCTTTTGCTCTGTTTCCGTTCCCCATGACAGGGTAACATCTCTGTTAACTTTTTTTAGTTTTAAAAAAAAAATCATTGCTGTTTTTTTTAAATAGCTAAACCTTGTTTGTCTCGGTCTGATGTTTCCAGTCAGGATTTTGACCACAGCACGAAGACTGCACTTGGACTTGAGTGACATCCAACAGACAGTTGTAAAATTTCAGCTTTGGTATTATTAGATCTCGATTATTAGATAGCTGTATTCAATATGGTCAACCACAAAATATTACTAGACAGATTGAAAACTGGGTCTGACTTTCAAATCCTGTTTGATATTCACAGGCCAACACAAAGTGGTCCCCTTTCTTCAGAGAGTACAAAAATGACATGCGGAGTCTCCCAAGGTTCCATTCTCAGGTCTCTTCGGTTCAGCCTATGCATGCCAACACTAGCGCAGAATATGGAAATCAACAAAATATCTTAACCATCATAATTGTGTGGACGACACACAGATTTATGTAACAATATCAGCAGGCGACTAAGGTCCCATATAAGCAGTGAGTCAGTACACTGAACAAAATCAATGACTGGACTTCATGCACTCCACCTGTGCTGTAATTTCTACTCTCCTCTTTTTACTGTTTTCCTTTTATGTTATATGTAAAGAACTTTGAATTGCCTTGTGGTTGAGAGGTGCTATACGAATAAACATGTCTTAAGTAAACATGTATGTCAGTGCTTTCTATATGTTTGGCCAGAGGGTGAGGGAAATATGTTTAAGTTAAGTGTAAACTTAAACTATAAACTTTGTGTCTAAATTGACACAAAAACTCTTAAGCAAGGTTTTTAGGGTTCTGCGTGGCCTTGAAAGCAGATACTGTGATTTCAATGACCACTGTGCACTGCACAGACCATCAAACATGGAATACTGAAAAGAAATAGCAAAACATATGGACTTTGTCTTACTGTAGTATTCTGACCAGGACCTAAAACTTAATGGGTTCCATATACTATGAAAAGTGGTGGGAGGAGAGGCATGGTACAGCAAATGTGGCAATATACCAGGGTGCATGGTTTGAGACTGAGTGCATTTGCACTGTGCAACATTTATCTGCTCTTGCAGGCAGGCAGCGGTGGGCAATGCTACCTTCAGGTTCTTTTGATCACTTGAACTGGTGAAAACACATTCCGATAGATTCTTAAAATCACTTTACTTTAATGATATATATATATTTTTCCACTTGACACATCTAACTGCTCAGAACAATACTTTATTACAACCATGACAACAATGCCCTTGAGCCAGAGCATGTCTGAATGTTACCAGCATCTTTCAGTTGTGAGCTGTACAAAAACCATCTGAATGTGACAGGTACGTTCTCCATCTGCACTCTCCAATTTGAGCAGCACAAACTGTCAAAGTATGACTGCGTATGTCAGACCCACTGTTACCTTGATTCAACCTTGCAGCACTTCACAATTCAGTGAGTGGAAGCTAGAATTTGTACCATCCACCGTTGATATGTAGATCAGAAATGGGGTCATTATGGGAGTTTATGCAATAATGAAGAGGCTTAATGACACTCCAGATCCATTTCCAGTTTGGCAGTACCTTTTCAACACTAGTGTTCAAGTAGTTTGTGAGACTCTTGCTTTTTGACAATTAATGACATGGACTTCATTATCTTCATCCATTTCATTGTATCATGATTACATTTAACTGGGAGTGAATCAGATGTGATTACATGTGAGAGCTTACTACTTGATAGGCTTCATTGATTGTAATCTCTATCCACCTGTGGGCCGAGCTATCAGCAATCACAGGCTGATTGCTGGCGTCCATTACAAAAACAAGCTATTTACAATCCAGTCATATTATATAACTCCAGCGGCTTCACACTTAGAGCTACACACTTCACTTCAATTATCTCTTATCAACATTAGAGACCATGTTGCATCCAGAGAGGTCAAACTGAGCGTAATGTATCACAGCTTGAATAACTGTATTCTAAACAGCATTAAATAACACCAAACACGGAAAGTCACCACAGGTTATACGAAAATCACCTTCATCTCTGCATCAGACCTCTTTGAGTAAGAGAGTGAAATAAAATGGGAAGAAGACAGGCAGAATGTGTGGGAATTTGAGGGGGAGTTTGTATGTGCACATCTGTCCCTGAACATTTGACTTGGGTCTCGCCTACAAACATGCTAGTCATATATATATATATATATATATATATATATATATATATATATATATATATATATATATATATATACACTACGGTTTTATGTTTGTGGTATAGCAAGGCGGGCCAGTGGTTTTAAGTTTTTATTTAAGATGAACATCTTATCTAACTTCCTATCAGTGGTTTCTATCCATCATAGGAGCAGACAGCTTACCTCCTCAGAGTCCTGCTTAGGCGATGATTTCACTGACCCTCTCGACGTGGGAGTCTGCAATATTAACAGAAAGGACACACAACATAATAATGGAAAAAACATACAATCACCTTCTGTGATGAAATCTCAAGGGTCCTTTAGGTGAACATGGAGAACAGTAGGGACTACAAAGCACCCAGAGAGCACTTATACAGTCTGCTCAAACACCATTAACATGACTGGTTCACCGATCATTAAAGAAGCCTCGCAGGGAATTCTTAGCAATAAGCTCTTTACCCCAAAAGACATCTGGCTGATTATCAAGAGGCCTTATTATCCATGTGGAAAAGCCTTCATAGGAAATTAAACATCAGCATTTGTGATGTGGAAAACTTAAGCTGTGCTTACTGCTCCATAATATTAATTAGACAGTGAGGTACTGCACGCCATGTGTCAGAGCGGAGAATGAATGAGCAGTGTGAGGAATGGATTCATTATATCTCATCCTCCACTCAACACATTTTGTTTCATTTAACTCGTTTTGCTCAGTATCATTCATATGTGCTAAGATTTCTGTGGGGAAAGAACATTAACATGACATTTTTCTAGCCTCAAAATGTATTTTTCACTTCAATGGAAAAGTTTTTTTTTACAACAATAATTATTAAAACGGTAAAAAACTAAGTTCAAATGTTGACATGAATTCATCTGTGTGATTGGTTTAATCTCAGGGGAACATACACCAAAAACACTTTTAATACTCTGATGTAAAACTGCAATTGATTTCAATTAAAAATCAATTTGCTATGTGGGAATGATCACATTCATTTCCCTGTTGTTTGCATAGTGCAGGGCTCAAAAATAACGCTAACTAAAACCACCTAACATTTCCAGATGCACAGAATAATCAGAGATCCACTCCACACATATTTTAAGATATAGAAATGTTTGATAACTGCATATAATGTTGAATTTATTTTATTTTATGTTACTCAAACTCAATGATCTGCTGTGCTGTATGTGTGAGTAGCCTGAAGGAACCACAACTGTCTTTTCATGTGCAACCTTGTGTTGTTTAATGAGAATATAAATTACCTTTCACACATTTGTCAACAAAAAAACAAAAAGAAGCCATTTTTTATTGTATTTGTCCTGTAAGTTGGAAATTTCTACCCCACGCTTGTGTAAGTTACCTAAGTTGCATACTGGACCATGATCGGCTTCCAAGTTAGTTGTGATGTCACAAATCCTGCTGGTGCGTCAACACATTAAACTGAGATTCAAGGTGATCCCTTCCCCCCTTTCAGCAAATGAAGGTGAAAGCAGCCTCTGCACATACGTCGGTCTGCGCGGCTCATAAATAATACAAAGATCACCTTTCACCTTATGTTACATCTCATGCTACAATATAATACTACAGTATATTATGTTAACATGCAGATTTTTGCATCATATTCAATAGTATATTCATACTACATCTCTATATTAATACAAACACGAGGTACCATTGCAGTGCTGTACACATAAACTGAGGGCTGTGATGTTGGATGTTACAGGGACTGTGATAAACAAAAAACAAGATCCCACTGTTCAGGAAAAAAAGTTAACTTTTTGTAATCACAATAAATCATAACATTTTGAATTACACCAGTGTCATTTTACCATGTCATTTCTGTCTCCATATGCTCTTGTATAGTTTAGAATTATTATTCTATTCTCATTTTAACTTTAGATATTTATTATTATTTATTTGACTTTCTCTACTTATCTGTACAGATTGCTTGAATTCGATAAAGGCTAGTCTTTTTTTGTGATTACTGGTATTTTAGGGCTGCAACGAACAATTGTTCTCATTGTCAGACAATAAATTAAATTGCTTGTTTTGTACAACCAACAGGCCAAATAAGTAGCAGAATTAAGACCCGGAACTAAAGGAAATATTCTGTGTTTTTTCATAAAAAAAAAGGAATTAAAGGATTAATCAATTATTTAAATAGTTGACAACCGATAATCGTACTCATTCTCTGACCTCACCTCTTTCTCTGCTTCAGACAGCATGGTGACAAAGTTGTCGGGGAAGACACCCTCTCTGCCCCCGATCTCCCCTCGCCACCAGCCGGGCTCTCCTGTGTCCTGTTAGACAGATAAAAAAAAAGTGTGAATGGTGACAACACTTAATTTGTGTTCTTTGCTTTGTCTCTTCTTGTATGATGTGCCGGTTATTCCTTTATTTTGCAGCAAGACGCAGATTCAGAAGAAACTAAATAAAACATCACAATGTTAAAGTCCCTCTACTGTAGTAGGAAAGAAGATGTCTTGTCTGTAACAAACTGTAACATACATATATTTCTATCTTCTATATATTATCATATATTGTATTATAATGTACATACTACTATATATTGTTGTTAGATATTGTAATATAATGCATCTTTTTAGCGTTCTTCTTCTTATTATTATTATTTTTTTTTTATAATTTCACCTTGAGCAACTGTAACAAAACAAGTCCCCCCCCCAGGATCAATAAAGTATTTTTGATTCTGATGTAAAAATATCTGTAAAATTAAAAAAAAAAAAGGCAAACAACAACAATAAGCCATCTGATCGTTTTACACGCACTTCTCAACAGTCTCCACTAGATGGCAGTATCTTACTAAAATAGTCTTGGCCGGGAAACTGAAGGAGTCCTGGTTGTGTCACTGTTCTACTGCGATAGAACAACAACAACAACCCCTGAGTCAGAGTCAGAGTCATCCCACATGGACAACATGTCAGAGACAGCTGAGCTGAGCCAGCAGAGTCTGTGGATCTTTATGTGCTGCCTGGTTGTAACAGTTTCCTCCTGAATGTGAGTGACTCTACAGGAGAGACTTTGGGCCAAGAATAAAATAAAGCTCTCCCTTGCTCCCAGTGCTCGCATACGATTTGTATGAAAGAAGGAAATGAAGACATGCAATGTGCTCAATGAGTCTTCTTCAGAGCCATTACCTCCTAGCACATGAAAAGTGCCACTCAGTAACTCTGAGACGACTTCAGAAAACAAAAAGAACAGAGAAACCTTCCTGTGGGCACCCACAATTTAAACTTCTTTTCTTTTCTTATGATCAGTGCAAGTATCTGCTGCTCATTGCTCTAAAGAGGGAGCTGCAAGGCTGTTGATTTCTAAATGAATTGTAATACAGGATAGACTCTCTAACCACTAGGTCTGCTGGGAACACCGGAGTTCTGTTAGGCAAAGCCATAACTTAACCTGCTTCATCTATTCATTTACAGAGCTGATTAAGTACAGTCTATGTCCATTAAAAGGTTCAGTGTGTAACATTTAGGAGGATCTATAGTGAGAAATAGAATATAATATTCATAGGTGTGTTTTCATTAGTGTATAATCACCTGAATAAACAAATGGTGGAGTTTTCATTATCGTAGAATGAGCTGTTCCATGGAAGCCGCCATGTTTCTACAGTAGCCCAGAACAATCCAAACACTGGCTTTAGATAGGGCCTTTGCATGTTTCACAGCCACTTCTCATTCCCAGGTTGTCATATACAGGTGTGAGTGGTGTTCAGTTAGTTGCAATCTGAAACTCCACCACTAGATGCCACTAAATCCTACACACTGGTCCTTTAAGACACAAATGAGGAATTATTTCTTATCAAGGTGCACATTCTTTTTAAAGCCCAAACTGTGTTTAGTGTGACCTAGGAACACTTTGCACTTTATATTTTTATTTTATTATTATTCATGTCAAAAACGGAGATCACTGGTAATCAGGAGGGTGGGTTGTACAAAATGTTCTGTTTGAATTACATGTTCAAAATAAAAAAGGTGCAGTTTGTTTTGACACCATTCAACACAGAACATAACACACAGATTTTTTGCAAAATCACTCGGTTAATAGATCCAAGTCTATCTATTGTTAAAACAAGATATCAGCTTGGTTTTGAAGCATTCTGAAACTGCATGGTCTGTAAGTGAGGAGAAATCTGACTAATATTTTATTGACAGCTGCTGTGTTTGATCCAGTTTGATAACTAGAAGCAAAGAGTAATGACGGCCTAGTTGAGAGGCCAATTCGTTCAATTCGATGTTAAAAGAAAAAAAGAGCACCTAAAATCTGTTCTGCAGTTGGGATCAAGCACACCGACTGATAAGAGACAACCAATCCAGCAGGTTAGTTCAGCTAGTGCGGCTCAGTGCTTTTTCCTGTTCTGATTGAGATTCAGACACAGAAGACACTGTTCACTCAACTTTTTCACTGTTGTTTTATCTGCTGCAACTTTAATGCGATGAAAACTGACCTTGCTCAGGACGTGGAGGACATCGCCCTCTTTGATGGTCAGCTCGTCCTCATTCGTAGCCTCAAACATGAACGTGACCTTGCAGTACTCTTTTGCTGAGGACACAGAAATAATGGGCTCTTAACAAGGATTCATGGGCGGAAGCAAAACAGACAAAGAAAGCAAACAGAGCATACTAGACACCGCTATTTGTTATTCATGTGAGCACACAGACGAGCACAGAAGAGTTGACACATTTCTCTGGGATATAAACATTCGAGAGCATCTCTCAAACACACATACGACAAAAGGTTTACAATTCACTACAAGTCTTTGCAGTATTTGCCTGTGATATTTCATCACATCCAAACTGAACAGTGGAGCTGTAACTAATGACAGACGCAAATCATGCTAATAGGGCTAACACGCCAACTGTAGAAGTAAAACAGAAAAAAATGTCTTCCTCTCACACTCGACGACGATCTTGTGACACTGAATACACTTTCCACACGTCAAAGCATCCCTATCAGTACTTTTACGGTGTTTTACCTTTGGATTTGCCGTCCCCGTCAGCTCTCTGCGACTCTGTCATGTTGGGATGGGCGGGCTTTGCAGCAGATGGTAATGATGGGATTGGCTAAAATGAAGCAAAACCATACAGATGGAAATGATTTAGCGCACATGGAGTCGATATGTGGCTTCATGTGGACGGGTCCCCGTCTATGAGACAGTCTGTGTCTGAACTGAATGAGTGGAATCATCTGATCGTGACTCTGTGCTATTAGGTGTAAATGTTTATGAATGATGCTGTTAATTATGGGGTTAGCAGGTAGGCATTGTAGAGGATATGGAAAGAAAGAATAATTATTGAGAGAAAGGAAACAGAAACAGAAGGATTGAACCTTTTTCCGCTTTACAGGGACTATCTGACGTTACAACTTTGATGCAATGTTGGATGCAAAAAAAGCATACTACAGGGAAATAAAAAGGATCACTACTATGCTGTGGCACAGGAATTAACAGTGTTCAAAAATTGAAAATGTCACAAGCAGGGTGCTTTATGTCCTGGATACTGCTGCAGACGGAGGGGACAGCAGTAAGTGGATTATATAGGCCAAATGGAGACATCCTGTGAAGAGGAGCGTGTGAGAGCATGCGACATGTGGTGGTATGTTAGGAGAGGAGGAGAGTGAAGGAAGCTGTGTTAGTGGTGAAAGAGAGTGTGAGGGCTGTTGTGAAGAGGGGAGAGAGAGAGGGTGGAAAAGAGGGGAGAGTTTCAGAACGCAGTTACATGCTACACTAATTCAGCTGTGATTTGTTATTAACTGTTACATCTGTATGTCAGTATGTCATTATGAACACATCAGTATTGCCTCCCTTGTGCTTACTGTGTCAGTGCCAGAGGAGTAAAGACATTAAAAAAACTGGGAAAAAAAGACATGTTAAATTGGGTTTCCTTCAGGTTTTCCATTTCAGAATTCACACCGGCTAACATGATATACAGAGGCTCCAACCAGTTTGAATGGTCTTTCCTGAGCTCTGAATTTGTGGTCATGTGCACGTGCTGATGGCAGCAAAACAAGTGTATTCACAACAAACACAAGCTTCACATGAATCTGGATAAGTTCCTTCAGTGCAGACAGTAGACAACAGCGTCAGGCTGAACATTTGAAAAATTTAAATTGCAAACTGCTAAAGATAGGTAAATAAGCCCACTACAGTTCATGTGATTAGCATACGTTGCTGTTAAATAGGACCTGCTGGCAGGCTGTTTTGACAGAGTGAGGAAATAATACACAGCGTGATGTTATCAGTCCAACAAAAAGATTACTGGGTGAATGAATCCATTACAAGCGCCTCTGACTAGATTATTCCTGTTGACAGAAACAGATCGGCTGCTTCACCATATCAGAGAGCTTTGATTCTCTGCCCAAACCCAACTGGACCCGACTGACCCGCAGGGCTCGGGCCCCAAACTGCTGCCGTAGGTAGGTGTATATTTCCTATTTTTTTAATAATGCATGTGACTGTGATTAGTGAGTGAATCTGTTACGTATTTGTTTTGATAATAATTTGCACTATATCATATAGTATGTACAATGTAGTTTACCTTGGCTTGTGATAAACTATTTAAAATGATTATAATCATCAGTATCGCTTAAATACGAAGGTAACAGAGCACATTTTCCTCCTGGAGGACATTCACAGAGTTTCACTCCGTCGTACACAAAGGTGACAGAAATAGTAGAAAAAAAGAGCGCTTCAGAGAGCTTCTTCTCACCTCCACACACGGCCAGTAACTGCATGGAGTGGATGTGAATGTTAGACTGTCAGTTTGGGAAAGATTGGGAAATTCCGACGTTGGAAAGGTGCGGGGGACCGGAGTATACTGGTCCTTTACAACATGTCAGAATTTACTCCTGCTTTTCCCACATGTTCAATTTCAGATGCCGTTTCCTATTCTTATTTTGCACCTCTGAACAGGAATGTCTAAAATATTGCATGAGCCAAAGCAAAACCTTACTGCAGTCTTTAGTAAATAAGGACAACTGCAATTATTTAACTATTAAAGAGCTGTAAGTTCTCATACATATTTAATTTCATATTAATTGAGCCCGTCAGCACACTCAGCTGGACCGCAATATTACAGACCCCATTCCAAATTAAATACTACTAACAAAACTGGGACGACTGCCCTTTGTTTTTTATGGACACATCTCTGGAAATACAGCACATGTGCAGTTCACAAGTGCAAGGTCATTGCACTTCTCAATGCAATTCAGTTGCTTCAAAACTAGTCTAAAAATGTATTTCTGATCATTCTAAATGAAAATATCTGGGGTTTTGTTTGATGGTCAATATCTTTAAATGAGCTGCTTTTTATAGTATGCAGTATTTTGCAGTGTTACACATTAAGCAACATTAACATCTCCATTTCCTTCACCACTGTTACTAGTATTTTATGCCACGTATGTATAAAGAAAAAGGACATAGAATAATGTTTTACTGCAAACATTCCTTGTGTCACATTTATTGTGTATTTAGAGTTTGAATCACACTTACTCTCTCCTTCTTTTCCTCTGTTTCAGGGCTTGGCAGTCGAACCTTTAGCTTCACCGACCCTTCTCTGAAAATGTCTCCGAAGCCGACGCCTCGGATCTTCTTGGGCTGAGCAATAACTCCGTTCCCTGAGGCAGGTTGAGGCGATGTGGGGGTGGCAGCGCTTTCCATTCCACTTCCATCTGGGGAGGAGATACAACAGTGTGAGCAGAGTGGGAGCTGATCCACAACTTTTACATTTAACTGCTTTCCCTCCAGCTGCAATACTAGGATAGGACAGGATACATGATTACATGAATGATACACTTTCAGCCACCAGAAGGTGCCAAAATTGTGTTTGTGTATACACAGAGATTTATATTATAATGATTTCTCACATAATAGCGTTCAAATGTAGCCATACAATATCTAACCTCCAGCTGTGGATCCTCAAAGTGTGTACCCACACCACACACAGAGCTGTTTAAAGAGCTGTTGTACCTCCCAGTCATATAACTAGCAGGTAAAAGGCTTAGAAACATCCAGCTGCCGACTCAACTTCTTGTTGAGGCTTGTCTCACATCTGAACAGCTCCATTACTGCATTGACAATGAATTAATGGCCATGATGCCAAAAGAACATTCAAAACCTGCTGAGAAATTCTCGGCATAAACTGTGACATAAAATCTCCACCAGAGAATAGATGTCTGAATGAAACAAAGGAGAAAGATATCATCTCAAGAAGTCGCTGTCAGGCGCTCAACAGTTTAAGAAGAACAAGAAAAACAATCTCCTTTGCTCAACTGCAGCAAAAGAACCTGCTTTGAGCTTTGTTTTGATACGCTGTCTAACCAAACAGAAAATTCCAATACTTCTTCCCTGGTGTTTTTACAACATAAGCTGCACCCTTCGCATTAATGAGGCCCTGCTGCTTTGCCTCTTACCGGTCTCGTCTGCTGCCGTGTCGTTGGGCTCTGCGTCCTCTCCTGCGGCATCCAGCTCTTTGACGAAGTTGGAGGGAAACAGTCCTGACTTGCCGTTGAAGCTGCCGCTCCACCAGCCCTCCTCCACCTGCGCACAGAGGACATTCACTAAAGTGTCTGATGTGGAAATGGGATTTTTCCTCAGGGAATAACCCATTCTCCCTCTGGTGCAACTAATGCTACACATATACTGTAAGATGCTATAAATATATATGATCACTACATGTATGACTTTTTCTTTGGCATTGTAATACACACACGTGAAGGACTCCGTGCTATCACATACACACATTTTCCCCTTTGGCAAACTTATAATGAGCACTGCTTGCTGTGTACACTCACAGTGCTGCCTCTTACTTGTACTGACTTGCCAACACCACAAATAACCACATTACAGTGTGTGTTTCTTCAGTGCCTAAATACATTAAGTGGTTGCAATGTTACACCTACACCAGCACGTCTCAAATTACACCCGAAAACCGAAGCCTGGTATTGTGTTTATCCTAAACACTGAAAGGTCAGCAATTACAAAGTTCCAGCGCTGCTGTGTATATGCCAGGAAATTACATTCAGTTACATCACAAAGTGCACTTAATGTGACCGGGTTAGACATATTTACAATCTATAAAAGTACCTCTTCGATGATGTCGATGGTTTCTCCGATCTTCAGCTCCAGCTCGTCTTCGTTCACTGGCTGATAGTCAAACAGCACCTTGCACTGTCTCCTCTTAGGCTCTGTGAGAGGCGGGTCAGACAACAGCAGTTATTACTCAACCAACCTGCTCTGTGGCCTCACATGGGCACTTGAGCTAGTGCCAATTAAAGTGTTTTTGTTTTTATCAACTGGCAAGAGCTCGGCTGTGTGTACGTCTCCCTCTGGAATGCCAGTGGGGGGGCGGTGTGAGAACTGACACAGGTGAGAAGGCAAGTAAGGTGTAAATTTGCAAAGTGAGGGGCCAAGCGAGAACCCACCACCCTCCGCCGCGAGTAACTGTGGGTTTGTTCTAATGGGTGATCCTGTAAGCAGGCGGTGGACACGCCCTGCTGAACAAGCAGAGCTGCACACAGCAAATGGAACAAGCAAAGAAGAAATACTGGCCAGGAGCCAGATCTACAAAGCAGGTTTCTAGAAACAAAACTGATTACAGAAAAAAAGCAATACGTTTTGTGTACATTCTCTGACCAACTGATAAAGTTTTGAAGCCTGGAGTTTAGCATTGTACCCGTCACCATCTTTGTGTTTTGGAGCCAGAAGTGACCATATTTGGTCAGAGGGTGGTGCTGCCGTGGATACGCTTTGCTACAGCTAATTTCCTCATTGGATCTGACTGAGAACCTGACAACACGCCATGTTAGCGACTTGTCAAATCACAAGGTAGCCACGCCTTAAAGCATACCCTGCTTTATTGTAATATTTCACTACAACAGGACAATCGTTTACTAAATGAACATCATGCTGTATGGAAGGAGACTTGAAACTAGAGATTGAGAACACAAACTCATTAAGAAACTGTTTACTGAGCCAATAAATCAAGTAAGAACTCGGGTCAGGTTAAGGATGAATACAGTCAGACAGCCCGAAGAGTCGCCTCCTACTGACCATTAGAAAGAATTAGGGCTGTCACTTTTCCTAAAAGATTCAAATTCAGCCAATTTGAAATGACGCAATTCATTTGAATATATCTCAAAACACCTAGTAAAAACCTAATGTTAAGACTACAATAAAGGAAATAAATATCTGACATCTTCTGAGAGTGCGAGAAACAAGAGGTGTGACAAGTATCACAGCCTCTCCAGAGAGAGCTCAGTGCGATGATAAAGTAACAACACAGCTTAATTAACAGGTCAGCATTAGTTTATTTTTGATGATCTTCCACTGGCCATACTGTATATCACCTAAAAGAGGAAACTTCACCATCAGCATGTGGTTTTAACAGTGCTGCTTTTCCTGAAATTGAGCTCTATACTTGGAAATCCTCAATAAGAATGCCATTCAGTAAGAATAGAAACATAGTAACAGTAGCTAGGTGGGAGAAGACAAAGATAAAATGGCACTCATGATAAGATCTTTGAGCAAGACTGGACACGGTGCAGGTATGCAACACACACATATGTACGCATGAAAGGACACATGAGCTCAGACGCAGCAGACGCAGGTGAAATAGCAGTGGCAATAGGTGTTAACTTTTCTTTTAACCTGCCAGAAGCCACATGAATAGGATCTGCTGCAAATAAATGGCAGAAATAGAAAGCCTTCACGCTCCTGTCAGTAACGACTCCACCATGGCCTATTGCAGTAAACCGCGCTCATCCTGTACACCAAGCAAACTCCAACACTTATTTACAGGCATCGTTTCACCCAAACAAAACTATAGCATCTTACTCTTTGCAGCTGCTGGTGGCTGAGGCTGGAAGCCGCCGGTTGGGATGCCGATGGTGCTCATCCTCTGAACCAGGTTGGCCACGTTCCCTGCGCTCTTCTCTCTCCTCAGAGGCTGAGAGGTCTCCTCTTTTGGCTCATTCTTTGTTTCCTTGACCTCTTTAGATTCCTTCTTCAATTCCTAAAAACAAAAAAAAAACAGACACTGCAATAGGTGGGAAGCTTTTTCACCCCGTTCTGATTCTAAGGCAGAAGGTGTCCCCATCATATCATTTTAACTAAAAGATGTCAACTCAGCTCATCAACTAATCAATTAGTCTACTTAAATCCACTTCAAATATACAGATCTACTGAATGCTACTACTGTTCATACTCCTTATACAGTATGTTTACCAAAAATCCACAACAATATTCATTCCATATTTAGAAAATACATTTCTAATGATTCAGATAACATACATTAAATTTCAACCTATGACATTTTTAGTCAAGATAGTGGATTTTGATACATTTCACAGGCTTTTATTTTGTAAACTACTTTCTTGGAGACAAATAAAAATGGATGCTCAGTGTTGGGGCAATGGTTTTTTTAATCTACCAAAATATATGTGAATTTAAAGAAAACATGAAAATGACCACAGCTATAAATAAGGGATAGCATGGGCATATGAACAATAGGTCAGTGAGGTAAAAGTGAAAGAAGAAGAAGTACGGCCCTGCAGACAGTGTCATCACTGCAGCCATACACATACACACAGGATAGAGTACAACAGTGACAGGTCTTATTACAACGACAAAGCCTTAGAAGAATGCGTAACTTAAATTCATAATACAAACAGCTGGTCCTTGAATGTATCCACATAGTTTGTCTGTAGCAGACACCAGTTAAAGACTTTCTCCATGTTCTGTTTCCAGCTGTGGTGTCAGTAGTGTGACTCATTCCTGACCACTGACCAGAAACCACATTTTCTATCCCCAACCTTGAACCCGTAAGGATATGCATACAGTGTACTGTACTGTCAGTGCTGTAACTGGACTGTAACTGAACGCACAGTGTGGTCATCTAGACCACTTCTGGATGTAGTCAGGGGAAAGATTTAACCACATTAACCACAAACACAATGTACCTCCATTCTAGCTGCAGAAGCTCAGTGCACACAAATGCAGGAGATGGGCAGCTGAGATAGTAACAATACTGTCAAACAGGGATTAATGAGACATTGGATGGAAACAGGACATGTGAAACAAGGTGAATCAGTTTCACATAACATAAGCAGAAGTGAAATGTGTGTGACCAATCTGCATTCTGGTGAGCTAAAGAGACACAAAGTAAGCCATAACTATGGCAACCTACGTCAGTGCTCAATGCAGCATTGTGATAGTTACAGCCCACTCATGCTAAATGTAGCTGCCGCTAATGATCCCGATCACGTCACAAGGCAGGCTGTAAAACAGCTGCCACATTCTCCCAGCCTGGGGAACTCCCTGACAACAGCACTAAGTCCACATCACACCTTCACTAAACAGGGGATATTATGAGTACATCTGCCCATTTTCAATGCCCACTCATCCAGCGGAGGTCCTAAGGGGCCAGAGCCTATCCCAGCATGTACTGGGGGAGAGGTGGAGTACGCATTGGACAGATCATCAGTCTGTCACAGGTCTAAAACACACAGCTAGACAGCTACATTCATACTTGCATTTACACCTACCGATTTTCAACCGACCTAATCTTCATGTTAAGAAGGAAACTGAAGCACCCGAAGTAAACCCACACAGACACAAAGACAATGCAAGAGAACATACTAACTCTATAGAAAGGGTCACAGGCTGCTGGACCTTGTACACCGACTTTCATTTTTATGGAAATGATTCTCAAATATGCCTTCTACTAAAATCGAGAGAACCAAACTGTATTTTGAGTTTATCAACTTGGTAGCCTCTCAGAGTCACTCCTGTCTGTCACACGTGATCAGAACCAGCTAATCAGGTGGAAGAACACTATCACAGTAGACAGTAGTAACAAAGCCTTTGCTGTCAAGAGCTCCTGGACCCAGAAACATGCCCACAGAGTCAGCATTTTGTTTTTAAATCTCAAAACAAACTTGCAATATGAAGTGCACTGGTGCACAACACAAATAGAATATGTCACACTGGGAGCTCGGAGCAGGAGCAATGAAATATGCATACATGTTGCATGTATGTATTAGGGAGAGCTGGATACAGCATTGGAGATGGGGCTCAGGTCCTTCATATAAAAGCTGCTTAGTGACCCATGAAGCCAAAAAAAGTTTGACTTCTGGGTAGAAAATTACCAGGATCTTCTGTTTCATATGGCCCACAGAGCATGTGTAAAAGAGATGTCTGCCGGTCGAGCCACTAACTTCCGGTTTAGCCCTTTGCTAACTTGAATGGGGATACAATCATTTGATCATGCAGCTCTTCTAGACTTTCCAAATGTTATCGGACCGAACAGGCCAAATTCTGATAGTGAAAGGAGTCATTTTATGTTGGTTGTGACACTCCAAAAAATCTTTTACAGCTGCTTTTTCACAATGTAAAGCATCGCGGGCCATTCATGTTCATGCATCACGTGACCTTGTCATTACACGGTTTAGCCACTGTGTCAAATTGGCTTCAAAGGCCAGCGCTCCTCCTGGGGGCTTGGTGTATAGACAATGACCCTGTTCACCATCCACTTCCTGGTTCAGAACCGCTGACTTTGCAATTCCACTGGAGAGGAAGTCCAGCTGTGTGTGTGTGTGTGTCTCTACCAGGCACTGAGACAGAGATGAGAGGAAAAGCAACAGAATAAGAGAAAGACAAACAATCCCAGGCAGAGACAGACTAAAATGAACAGCTTCAGACAGCAGAGAGACAGAAAATAGAAAAATGAAGAGAGAGAAGATAAATGTGAACACTCGAGAAGGACTTCCACCCCTCTCAGGTGTCTGTGTGCAACTCATTGTCACTGCTGAAGACTGAAGCGGCGTATTTCGAGAGCTTAAAAAGGCGAGATCACACATCCCAACACACACACTCGCAAACCTACAAACTGTTTTTCCACTCACTGGGTGTTAATTAGATTACACATGCATTGTTTATGTGTGTTCTTTTCTTAAGGTTGAACTTGGCCAACACAATGGCACAGTGCTCTTTACTGAAGAGGCTAATGGCTGTGAGTCTTTATTGAGTGTTCCAGGATTTATCAATCTCTAGATACGCATTCTCTCAACGTGTGGACTCACACTCAACTCGGGCTGGAAGATCTCCATGGGGACACAAGTATCAGCTTGCAGGGCTCTAGAGTGCGACCAATTTGGTCGCACATGCGACCAAAATTCTTAAGGGTGCGACTAATAATTTTTCTAGGTCGCACTGGTGCACCTGACGCTGCCCGGGTGAAAACATACATTTATTTCGCAAGCGCATCATCTCTCTGTGTTCTCCTGTGACCGAACTCACACACTCATGGTAGGATCATATCGTGTTCTAGACCAATAAGAGACAGAGCTCGGGCGGGTCTTTGCCTCTGATTGGCTGTGGTCCTGTTCATCGCGCTAAGTTGTGTGTGTTAAAAATTGCGAGAGTAGCTGACTAACTGAAATGGAAAAATAAAATAAACGCGACAAAACAAGGGAAAATGAAGAGAGGCAGAAATATTGAAAGTTTTTTCATTAAGAAAACCAAACCTACAACCAGCCCTTCTACTATAATCCCATCCATCCCCACTACTGAGAGTCCATCCCGTCAAGACACGGAGCCGTCGGTCCCTGGTGAGATACCAAGCCCCGGTCCTTCGGCGACAGCATCAGACTCGGAACCAGAGGAGGAGACAACCGAGTCTGGGATAGAGCCCGGCTCTGAGACCCAAATTAAAAAGGCCAAAATATATTCCTTCAGACAGAACTGGCTGAAACTATTTCCCTGGCTGAGGTACAACAAAGGACGTAACGCAATGCACTGCGTGTACTGTCAGGAGTGCAGTCAGAATATGGCCGGAAATAGTGCATTCGTGAGCGGGTCAACAACGTTTCGTATCGAAACATTAAAAAAAAAAAACATACGAAAAAAACACACGATATGCTGTGACAAATGTGTAGAGAAAGTGGCCCCTCTCCCAGCTGTGTGTTTTAGTTTGAAATGTTCAATTTCAGCTCAGTGAAGCACTTTAAACACTTTCTTTTTCTTTTTATATATAATTCAAATAAAGACAAGCATTTCTCTACACCTTATTCTTGTTTAAAAATCATTCACATTATATAAAACTTATGGAGAGCGAGAAAAAGGTGACCTTATGGTGTTAAAGGCAAGGCAATGAAAAACTTGGGTGCACCGAAAAAAAAAAGTTAGGCGCACCATTGCAAGCAATGCAAAAAGTTAGTCTGGAGCCCTGACTTGGCAGTTTTATGGTTTCATTATCACCACGAAGGGGTTTGTCACTCATCACGCACACTGTAACTGTCTGTCTATAGATATGAATTGTTGGTTTTGGACAGAAGGACTCGGAGGTGCAGTTCTCAGCCGGAGACAGTGTGATATTGTTCCCCTTGTTTATTGATTGATATTTTAAGGCACCTTATTTTGTAGCCCAAATGTGTTCTTTAATCTAATGGGTATATTATGTAGCTTTATCATCATCATTACAAAAAGTTATTCATCTAATCTGTCATGTACACGTAGTCACATCAAAATCTTACACACCCAGAACCACTTGGACCAGCATAAGCAAAAACTGAATGGTTGTACACTCAGACATACCTTTCTTCAAGATGACCTTCCACTGATTACATTCATTTTAAGGATATTACAATGAGACATTCACAACTAACCATGATGAAGCACTCTTAAATTCCTTACCATCTCCCTCCCAGGCAAGTTTCCTGTCCCCCGATCATTCAGCTACAACCCCAATTAAAAAGGAAGCAGGAAGAAGGCAACATCTCAGACGACAGTAGCGCTGTCGGGGGCAAAGTTCAACAGCCAGCAGGCTCCTTAGAGGATTAACTATCAAAGTCGGTGACTGGGCCAGGCGGCTCAGCTGATTACCTATCTCACTGCACAGGATTATGGAGTGAGGAGTGAAGAAAGAAGGCGAGAGAGAAGAGGAGCCAGCTGCTCTGTAGTGACTCATTTCACAGTACATTAGCTGGGTAAATATCTCGCACAGAAAAGGCAAATTTCACAGTAGAGCACTCAGGTGCCCTAAGTGTACGACCAAGTCATAACAAGAGATGACTATGACTCAATTCCACCAAAAGCACACATACTGTGGATGTACTGGTCTACAGCTACATGGTTATTAGCCGCAAACTGAGTCTCCAAATTGGATTTAAAATGGAATTTTCACAGCACTTCAAATAAAAAAACAGTAGAATGTTTAGCACCTAAGCCCATTCACAACACCTTCATCAGCCAGACTCTTATGCAGACAGAAAAAAAGGGGAACATATTACACCTATATTAGCGTTTTTTGCACTGGCTCCCAGTCCGGTATTAAATCCCCAACAAGATTCTTCTGTTGGTGTCTAAAGCCCTGCATGGTCTCACCCCGAGCTATATTACAGAACTCCTATCCCCATACAGTACAGCTAGGCCCCTTAGATCTACAGATCAAGGGCTTTTATAGTCCCCCTGAAAACATAACAGCAGAATCTTAGACTCTCAAAAGGCTCCCACTTTTTCTCTCTTGCCTAACCCTGCAAGGATTCTTTACGTGATTTTCATTCTTAATTGAGAAATGTCTGTATCCCTGTGCACTACACTCATTATATATTTATCCATGTATTTAAGTACTTTTGTCTTGTGATACTCTTTTAGCTCAGCACTTTTTTTTAAAGCGCTCTATGAATAGATTTGACCGTGACATCGGATTTTGTAGATCTTTATGTGCGAGACAGTTAGAATAGCAAGAATAAAACAAGACTTGTAACACCCACAAGTCATTGTTGGGCATAGTTAAAATTACAGGTTAGCCCGTGCAGACATGGACTGTCAGTACCAGATGCTTTAACTAAGCACAGCCATCCACTTTAATAATCAGTCTCAGCACAGATGGAGCAGAAATCTGATATTGCTGTTTGTGTTTCCTGACAAGACATCAGCCTGATATCTGCAGATCGCTAGCTAGCTAACATTATGCATAACCAGAGATGATATCTCATCAACAAACTCAAACTGAGCTCAGATCAGTGAGCAGAGTTTATTCCTCTTGGAGATGCAAATGTTAAATGCACCGCGAGATAGCCGGAGCCAGCTAGCCACCTGGAGACAGGCAGAGACACCTGAAGACACATCAGTCCTTTAAACTGTGCTGGATGTGAAATTCATGTCACAGTTTACAGGACTGTCGTGACTCAAGACGGTTAATATAGCCAGTTCTCATCAATGTTCTCATCTATGAGTGAATGTGTGTTGCCCTTGTAGGTGGTGACAATAGGCTCGTTGGAGTTAGGCCAGGCAAATCTAACTTTTCTTAATCAAAACACCCAAAAGGTTCCTGATAACTGAATGAACCCTGTACTGCAGGAACCAAGAGGAGTCAAACTGGACCTCAGGTCCTTGTAGGCCAAGAGGTTAATTCAGTGCTGCTATTAAATCGTCCTTAGTCCAAAGTTTAAGTCCAGTCAGATTTGATAGAACAACTAACTTTTTACCATAAATCAACTCACATCCTTCAACCACAGGTCGAACAGCCTCTTCATGCCTGCACATAGCTTTGTTTACCGTTTGTAGTGTTTCACAGATACACAAACTATAAGAATGCCAGCAGAATGCTCTGTTTTCCAAAACTTCTGATTAAGCTTTTCAACAAAGATTTCTGAATTCATACAAACTGCATTCTGCCACAGCAGTAGAGGAAAATTGGACAAAGGAAAATCTAGTAAAATCCAGTCATCACCATACTGTAAATCGTAACACCTGCTCATTTTGTCTGCAAAAATATTCAAATGCTTCAACAGGAACCCATTTCTTCTCAACCAAGCATACAGCACTCTCAGATGTGGGTGCGTTTCTAAGAAATCAGTGACCACATCTACTGCAGCCTGTGCCCAGCCCTCTCGCCGTAGGAAGCTGTGGTCTGATAACGCTCACCGCTCCAAAAGAATTATCTCTAATGGAACAACACACAAAAGCATTTCAAACCTCAGAGGAAGTGCACGTTCAGCTCTACACAAGTTAACTCTACTATAACGCAGGAGTTAATAAAAGACAAAAGAGCAACATTTTTCCTCTCACCTTAACAAAGTTGTCGGGGAAGAGGCCCCTTTTCCCGTTGAGGTCTCCCTCCATCCAGCCATCCTCCTCTATGTACCGCACGTTCTTGATGATGTCGCCCAGCCGCAGGGTCAGCTCGTCATCATGGAGCGCGTCGTACTCGTACTCCACTATGACCTCTGCTCGACACAGGATGAGGGAGGAAAGAGACGGGAGGAGGGGGGGGGGAAGGAAGGAGGGGAAGTATAGTGTTAGAAAGTCAGGAAGCCAATGCAAGGGGGGAAGACAATAGAAAAGAGAAAAACACAGTAGAGTAAAGAGAAGAAAGGTAATGTGCAGGATGGGTAGAAGTGGAAGAAGAGAAACAATAAGAGACATAAATTAACAAAATATCAAAGTAAAAGTATCACAATAACAGCAGAGACTCATTTTTCCCCAGCATGTATTCCCAAGTGATACAACATAACTCGTGTTACTACAACCGACATCTACTTTGGATTTCTGGCAGGAACAGTTGCAATGACTACTTCATGCATCCATTAGTTGTCATCTATCAAATGAATCACAAACTATTTTGGAGTCATTTTTTATGAAGAAGTGTCCAAATTCTCAGACTTCAGGTTCTCAAATGGGAATATTTTATTTTACTTTAGTCATTTATAACTTTGTGTTGTGGACAAAAAAAAGACTTTTGAGGACATCACCTTGCGCGTTGCATGCAGTGATCAATGTTTTTCACCATTTCCTGACATTTTATGGACCAGGCAACTGATCGATTCTTCGAGAAAATGTTGCAGCCCTAGTTCCAACAGTGAGAATAAGTGGACAAAGACTGGACTCTGCAGTGGTTCTTTGAGCCCCTGGTTGAACATCATTGGTAGTTATAGTTATTATCTGTTTTGGTTTTAGTGTTCTGAACATTACAATATGAGTAAATTCAGGTTGTATCCAGAGCAGGTATCCAGTGAAACTCAAACTTTGGGAACAGAAGTTGTCTAGTGTTCCCATGTACTATGAGTAAAATATGTATGCTGTTCAGAATGTCTGGGAAGGAACTCTAAGTTCAACACAATCCAGAACAAAAATAAACAAAATGCTTTAACAACATGTTTTCTTAAGTGTTTTAACAGTATAAGATAAGGAAGGAATGGCAAATCAATAAAAATAGACAAAAAAGTAATACATGAATCACTGTTTTGTTTCTGTGGTAACTATCACAATGAACAATGATCAAATCTTACAAACCTTGTTTAAGAATGGCAGTGTGAATGGTGAAAATCTATGGACCCTAGCTCTGAAAATCAATAAATGTCTCAGTTAAAGAAGTTGTCTTCATTCAATCTAAAACCTGACTTTTCACTGTGAGGTTAAAAGTCAGGAAGGAATAATTCATTAATTAGCACACGTGTATGGAAAAACACTACTAGTGGCTCTGAGAGTGGCACACAGCACCTTCAAGTGCTGGTTGGGTAATGTACTGCTGAGTACAGTAATTACGCCTGGCCAATCTTTAAAACATGCACCATGAGACCAAGGTACCTTTACAAAAACCTGAGAGCAAGAATACAGGTTCAACAGAACAGCCTTCTTCCTGAAACTACAGATTGAGCTCAATAAAACGACTGTCAATATTGGCCCATAAGGAATATGACAGCAAGAGGCTGCCTTTAAAACACCGCTGAGGTACAAAGTTGCAATGATCGTTGATTGGATGTACACAGTGTGCGTAATCTTCAGACGGGCTGATACGTATTTCTGATCACAAAGAGAGCTACAAACAGCGAGAGAAAGAGAGAGGCGAGAGAGACTGACGGGCTGCTTCCAGTGCAGCAGGTTGAGCAGCCTCTAAAAATAAGCGGGCTGCAGAGGAGTAACTGGTAGTGAGGTATTTCACTACGTGCTGTGGCCCTTTAACACACAATGACTCACGGCGGAGAGCCTCCACTGGCATGGCTGGCTTCACACCAAGCACAGCCAAAACAAAAACATGACTGCACACTTTTTATCTCCCTCTAACAGACCGAATCACTCACTCACTCACTCACACACACACACACTCTCACACTCACACACACTCGGCGGAGTCGTTCAGCACTTAACCAAATTGGTCAAGCAATACAACACTGAGTGCTGTAAAACTTGGCTCAGCTGTGACTGTTGGTATATATGTGTGTGTGTGTGTGTGTCTCATCACCACCCTTGGCCTAACACTGCTGCAGCCTGGGCCAACTTCCAATGAGAAATTGGCCCTGACCAATGATCTCAGACCAGCCTTCCCCCTCTACATAAAACACTCAGTATTTAAACTTTTGAAAAGAGGAGCAGCGGTTCAACGGGTGGGAGAAAGGGCCTGCTCCGCCGTCTTACTGCTGACTGAGAAAAAGCCAACAGTTGTCTGCGGTGAGGGATTAGCACACACAAACACACAAACACACACACAATAACCTTCACAGCGAGGGCAGTGCTGGGCAGTGTGGCGGGATTCTGGCAGTTTCGCTGTACGGCAGGTTTTGGTTTTTCTCAGCACATTCAGTTTAATGTGCTGAGCAGCTATCAGCCATCTTGCCTGCAAACTGCCATTAGCGGCGCACTTTTCCCCCAGTTAATGTTTGTTGGCTCGTTCAACAAGCTAAAGTGCAAGGCGAGATGTGTTCCTGTTTGTAAGTTAGATAGGAAGAAGACTTTAGCAGGACAGTTAATGTGGCTCTTGTGCTGTGTAGCTACGGCTGTCTGGCTCTGCTCTGCCTGTAACAGAACGCTGATGTCACGGCTTCATGTGAGATTTGACTAGCTGTGTGTAAATGAGGACTACATCTACGTAGACGGATGCCGCTCCATCAAATGAATGCAAAACTTGTGGGTGCCATTACAAAACCAAAAAAATACATATAAATTTCCCACTTTGGGTTTCTGATTCTTTTCCCAAAGAAGAACACAGGGCATGTGATTTAGAGAGCAGATATTTGTGCAATAGCACACAAAAACTAATTCATTTCAGTTAGCTTTTAAATGATGCAACAAAAAGGTTAGAAACAAGCTAACCATCTTGGAAATATGCGCAAGATGGGAAAAAAAAATTGTTTTTCCTGTTCTTCCCACTCTGCAGACGTCACATGAATGCAGCATAAGACAACCTACAATCCTACAAAGCAACAAGTGTCATCCAAGTTCTTTTTAAAGCTGGACACAAATATTAACAAATCCCTCTTTTAAAAAGTAACTTCTGACAGTTTGATGTATTCCCTAACGTCTGCTTACTGTTTCCTTGAATTCTAGAAAATTCAGGTTAAGATCTCACTCCTCTGCATGCCTCTCTGGATGATCTCAGAGCAGTTTCAACAGTCAGATGATGACCTGCCAACTAGTCTTCTGGCAGCTGGTTCTGCAGCTCTGCTGATTTTGCAGCTGCAGAACTGAAACCGTGCAGCAGGTTGATATATGAAAAAAATAAATAAATACATTTTACACACACACACACACACACACACACACACACACACACACACACACACACACACACACACACACACACACACACACACAGGGTCTTATAAAAGCCTGTTTTATTTTAGACAGCACACTTTTACCAGCTCTGTCAGCTCCATTAGCTCATAGCATGCTTCTGCAGGACCCCAGCACTTACTTAGCACCAGAAAACCAAAGACAGTCCCACCATGGTCACCATCTAGCCCGTGTACGGACAGAATCTTTCTCAGCGACGGATTGCTGGAGACTGAGCAGGCATTATAGATCAGGAAGTGAAATCACTTTGAGCTTAATATACTTCCAAGCATAGCGAGTAACACTAATGTTCTCTCAGTCTCTGTCACACTGAGCCCAGCTGCTGTCCAGTAGGTTCTAACTAAAATCAACTCACTTTCCCACCAGCCCTGAAGATCAGCTGTAGGTAAGACTATATTTACGCTCTACACAGTTCCCTGTAAGCAACAGTCCACGACACAAGCTGAGCAAAACTCAAATAAACAACACGGCCGAGACCCCAGACAGTAATTTGGGATTATCTGTCCGTATAACCACAGGAAGAGATATGATCTGCTGCCGTAAACAAAACAAAAGGCAACGCTGGCGGACAGAATTATACTCTGTTGAGATAATGCAACATACATGGCAGTCTTCAACTTCCACATGATTGGATGTGGAGCGGAGGGACTTTCTGCAACCACACAGATTACAGCGCCCCAGCAACCGCACAAACACACCCTGCCCGAGGAACGCGGGCCGGCCGAATCAAATCACTTCTAAACACACTGCTATACACTTACTTATACGTTACGCTTTGGATTTGGACACCACCGAATATAGTGTTACTTAAATGATTCCTATTGTGGTCTTCAGTGGAGGAAAAGCAACACAAAAGTTTTTTTTTTTTTTAACATATATTAAAAAAAACTGCCCCTTTAGCCTCCAATCCTGTGTATTTGATGACTACATTTCCAACATGTAGCAGATTCCACAAACTGTCCTGAACAGAAAATCCTTTCCTTACATTGCAGTTATTGCACAGGTGTAAAGGCCACTACACTAAGCATGGCTTGTTTACTTCCTACAACCTGTATGAGTTTATATTTGAAACCTTTTTAGATTATGGGGCTTTTTGGAGACTGAACTCTGGAGGTGGGAATATGGGTTGAGTACAAAATGCCTCCTCTTTATATGTGAGAGGACAAGCAATATACATAGATGAACTCTGATGGTCACTTCTCTAGGAGTGAGGCACTTTCCTCACTAACTGTGGCTGCTGCTGCTGCTGAATGAGTGCAGTGAGTGATGGGTGTCGGCCTGTGAAATACCAGCAGTGGGGCAGTGGACAAAGTCTTCTTGGTTTGTTCCTCGAAGGAAATGCCTTTCTAAATACGTTTAAACGCAGCCAAAAACTGTCAGCGTACAGGTGGCTTGTGTGTGTGTGTGTGTGTGTGTTTGTGTGTTTGTGTGTGTGTGTGTGTGTGTGTGTGTGTGTGTGCGCAGCAGGAGCAAACTTCCTGCCAGTCATGCGGCAGCAGGGGGATTCTGGCCTAAATAGTTCTACTGACGAAGTGGCCCAGAGGGAAAAACTGAGACTTTTCTTCAGAAATGAGAGTGAAAACCCGGCTAACAGCAGCAGTAACCTGGACTACAACAATCCAAGGTCAGATCACACAAGGGCCTTCAATCAGGGTTT